TATCCAGAAACCTCTATCTTGAGTAAATAGCCTTGAAGTTTGAGTTTCTGATTTACAAAGGAGATCTTCCTCTCCCAAGCCATTAATGTGTTGCAATAATTAACAGAGACTTTGATATTTCACCTCATTTTATTTGTAGGTGGGTGGAATCAAGCCAGGCTGCTTTAAGATTGGAAATACAGGTGGAATGCTGGACAACATCCTGGCGTCAAAGCTCTACCGCCCTGGCAGTGTTGCCTATGTCTCCCGGTCAGGAGGAATGTCCAATGAGCTCAACAACATCATCTCCAGGACTACAGATGGAGTCTTTGAAGGGGTAGCCATTGGTGGGGACAGGTGAGCACAGTGGCACAACCATCCCTGTGGTCTCCGCCCCCACCGGTGGTTTGGTGATTTCAGAAGCTTTTCCCTTTCCCCCCTTTTTTTTGTTTTTGTTTTTGGTGTTAGTTTTTTGTTTTGTTTTGTTTTTTGCTTTCCAGGCGAGAGCAATTGTGGAACTTAATCATTCTTGTTACCTGTTCTGTCAACACAACGCCAGCGTGCTGCTGAGATAAAATGAATGGATTGTGAAGATGGGGCTTGAAATTCCTTTTGTGTCTACTAATTATTCATTAGGGCTGTTAAACAGGTTGCAGTGCCTTGGCCGTGGTGTTCTCTTCTTGTCAACCAGTTTTAATATTTACTGAATTTCAAACAATTTTGTTCTAATAAATTTGTTAACCTTCTGTAAGCCAGTTCCTGATTCCAGAGATTCAACCTTGGTTCTTTGCTTGTAGAGAGTCTGCTCTGCTTCTGTGTATTTAATGTTCTGTATCTTCAGAAGACTACTTGTATTCTGTAATATTCATAAGCATTGCAATTTTAATAAAACAAAACATCTCTTCTGCCCAGATATCCTGGTTCTACATTTATGGACCATGTTTTACGTTACCAAGACACTCCAGGAGTGAAAATGATTGTGGTCCTAGGAGAAGTGAGTATTTCCTGCCTCCAGTATAATTTGGAAATACCTTGCTTTCAAGATTTTATCGCCAGACAACAGTTAGTTGAAGTAACATGAATAGGTGATAACAAGAATCCCCACAGCCATTGTTGTGTTGGATGGTATAATAAGAGTGTACTCCAGAAGAAGGAAATGTATCTGGCCCCAGAGGAAGCAGATTGAGTGCCTGCACCATTGTTGTGTGTGCTGGATGGTATAATAAGAGTGTACTCCAGCAGAAGGAAATGTATCTGGCCCCAGAGGAAGCAGGCTGAGTGCCTGCAGGAAGCTGTGTAGGAGATAACTTTGCCCAAGGGTGATATTTTGAGTGCGTACAAACCCATGTATTAAATGGTGGCACCAAAGTTGTAGAATTCCCATTTTATTGAGTGCCTGCAGGAAGCTGTGTACAGTAGGAGATAACTTTGCCCAAGGGTGATATTTTGAGTGCGTACAAACCCATGTATTAAATGGTGGCACCAAAGTTGTAGAATTCCCATTTTGTGGGAGATTGACAGTTAACATTTTTGCGCTACAGGGTAAGGACATACAGTGGGGTCTTGACTTGAGAACTTAATCCATATTGGAAGGCGGTTCTCAAGTCAAAAAGTCTATAAGTCAAGTCTCCATTGACCTACAGTGCATTGAAAACCGTTTAATCCCGTAACAGGCCATTTTTGTTCCATTTTGGGGGTTTTTTGGTCTGTAAGTCAAATCTCAGTCTGCAAGTCAAACCTAAATTTTGCGGCCAGAGAAGTCTGTAACTCAAAAAGTCTGTAAGTCAAGCCATCTGTAAGTCAAGGGTCCACTGTAGTGTAGCCTGAAGCCACATGTGCTTTTTGCCCTTAGACATCCCCAGAATTTTAACTAAAAAGCCTCCTCATTACACTCACCACCTGCTTTTAATCTGGGATAAACTTTTTATCAAACTGAAAAAAATGATGTACACATTGTATTTCCCCTAGGTCTCTTGTAAAGGTATTCTTACATCGCTTGGCATTTAGCACATTGGGATTTTTTTTTTGTGGGGTGGGGTGGGACTGTGACTGCTACAGGGCTTTTTATTTGTTTATGTTTTAAAAGCTCTGATTTTGTGATTCTTGTTATATGCCAATAAATATTATTTAACATTAATTTCCATGGAGTGTAGCCTTTTAAAAACTTTTTAGTTTTTAAGGTCTGACAAGCCATTTTTTTTCTGCAACAAATTTACATGGTGGCATATATTGTCCTAATACCTTACAGCATAATCTAGCCTTAAAACTTCTACAATGGCTGCTCCCCAGAAATGTTTGCATTGTGTGGTTGGCTTTATAATGTGTGGAAGAACAATAGATAGGCTGTGCATTAAAAGTTAACATCTATGGATCTTGATCGGTTGATAGATGTTTATTTTATGGTGCTATATCCCTCTCAAAATCATCTGAAAGTGGTACTGAATTAGTGAAGCGTAAAGTCTGTTCCTTTTAAAAAGAGCTTCTCATATACAGATGTCTCCAGCTTTACTAGCCTGTTATATGGTTCCTGAAAACTAATAAGAAATCTTGGGGGTGAGAGAAGCACTTCTGTGTACAAATGGGTTGCATTGTTACATTTAGCTTCTTGTTTCAGATTGGAGGAACAGAAGAGTACAAGATTTGCAGGGGTGTCAAAGAAGGCCGGATCACGAAGCCTGTTGTCTGCTGGTGCATTGGGACGTGTGCCACCATGTTCTCTTCAGAGGTATGTGTAGTAGAGAGGAATGCTACTTGTGGCTGGGTGAATATGTCTATAGGCATTTAAACAACTATCAAACTACAGTGGAGTCTCGACTTACGTGCGGCGCCGCTTATGAACTTTTCGACCTACAGACTTCTCCGGCTGCAAAGTTTCACTTCGACTTGCGGCCAGAGAATCGACCTACGGACCAGAAGGGGAAGGCAGGGAAAACGCCAAATTCAAATTTCGCGCTTTCCCCGCTTCCCCCTTCCAGTTCGTAGGCTGTAGGTCGTGCCCACTGTCAGCTTTGAGCTTTCTAAACCCCGAAAACACAGAGCTGACAGCGGGCGCAGAGCAGCTTTCCGGCTTCCAAAGCTGCAAGCCAAAAGCCACTCTGTGCCCACCGTCAGCTTTTGGGGATTAGAAAGCTGGACCCACTGGCCTTTTGCCACCTGTCCCAGGTGCCCTCTGCCTCCTTTCCCCCGGTGATGGGAGGCAGAGGACAGTGGGGACAAGAGGCAGAGGGCAGCGGGTGCAGCTTTGGAAGTCCCAGATTTTTTTTCTTTGGCTGGAACGAATTAAATGGCTTTCAGTGCATTCCTATGGGAAATGGACCCTCAACCTACAGAATTGTTGACCTGCGGCCACAATTCCAATACAGATTAATTCCGTAAGTCAAGGGTCCACTGTACTGAACTCTAAAAATGGAGGTGAAGACCTGCCAGATGTGCATAAACCAAGACAGGACAGAAGTCTGTGTTGAAGTTTTTGCAATGGGAAAGAAGGTTGCTGGCTGCTCAGTCACCAAATAGGCACAGAATCTCTTTTGCTATACAGTGCAGGAAACTGTATCTCCATATCCGACTGTTGGTTGTGTTTCTCTGCATCCTGCACCCCAATCCGGAACTAAGCAGGGAGGAAAAACAACCAAATGCCCACTCCATGTAGCAGAATCAAAGAAAACCAGGGACTTCCTAGGAGTGGTTCCGAGCCTTGGGTAACCCAGATGTTCTTGGACTGCAATTCCCAAAAGCCTTCACCACCAGCTGTGGTCCCCAGAGTTTCTGAGAATTGCAGTCCAAGAACACCTGGGTTACCCAAGGTGTCCTAGGCTACTGTCCTACGCTATTAAAGGGCTGAGATAAAACTTTTCATAGTTCAGCACTTCAGTGTGACCTCTAAAATGTAATAGAGAATGTTTGGGTCTGCAGATATTGTTGGACTCCACCTTCCATCAGCCATTATTTTGGCCATTGATCAAAGATGATGGGATCTGAGGGCCACAAATTCCCCACCCATGCTCTAAAGCTTTTAATCACCACACAACAGCTCTCCATACCATGTATACCATCACCACATATCTACAACTTGCATTTCGCTCGCTCTTACCTTTTGCTATCCAAAGGTCTTGAGTTCTGTGAAAGTTTTAGTCTTGGAAGAAGCAGACAAGTGAATAAGCGTAGTGCGTATTTAATAATCTGTCACTCAGTATTATGCGCAATTCCTTCACGAATGTCAATTGCATGTATTCCATGCATTAGCATTATGTCTGCTTTATCATCTGGCATCCATTTATCTTGTGCTGAGCCTCTCCATTCTGAGTCTGATTGGTCCTCAGATAACAGATAGGTAGTCCACCTCTAGGACTATACTTGAAACCCCATCAGCCTCGTAGAACCTGCCAGAGCTTCATTGACATGGCTTTAAGAAAGCATAATCACCTCATATCATGACAAAACAGCAAAGTAGGACTTTATTGCTGTTGTGTTTACAAAGAAAAAAAAAGAGCCTGACTCTTTTTGCAGGGCCAAACATAGGATTTATTTATTATAGTTCTTAATTTAATGAATAAAGACCCCTTTATCTGTGTCTACAGGTACAGTTTGGTCATGCTGGAGCTTGTGCCAATCAAGCATCTGAAACTGCTGTGGCTAAGAACAAAGCGCTGAAAGAAGTGGGTGTCTTTGTCCCCCAGAGTTTTGATGAGCTGGGTGACGTGATCCAGTAAGTGGGTTGATGCTGTTGTACTGGTTTCCTGTCACCAAGAAAGACAAGCAGAGTTGGCTGAGAGCAGAGGGCAGTGGTGAGGCCTCTTTGAATCAGTGGTGAGAGGGAGCGTGTCAGTTTTCATGGACACAGTACCTAGAAATTGATAGATTGTGTGGAGAATTTTAAAACCACACGTCCTGTCCACAGATAAATCTGAAGTGCAAAGAAGAATCCCTGTCTGGTATGCTGAGAACCATAGTACCGTCTTTCCCCGAAAATAAGACAGGGTCTTATATTAATTTTTGCTCAAAAAAAATGCATTAGGGCTTATTTTCAGGGGATGTTTTATTTTTTTCAAGTACAACAATCTACATTTATTCAAATACCATCATTTATTTTATTTATTATTATTCATTTATTCTTATTCCCTTTCTCCTTCCCCTTCTTTCAATGTACCTCGTGTCACTTCCTCCAGACAAGAGGAGGGTTAAAAGGCTTATGATAGGAGAAGGGGAGGGCAGAAATAAAGGCAGGGTGGAGGCCAGAGCTCCAAAATTGCCTCCCCCCCTTTGTTGCCAGCGGTTTAGACATTAATGGCTGTGTGTTGCATTATTTTGAGGGGAGAGCACATTTACACTGTTATACAAGTTGTATACTCACTGCTTTACATTGCAACCAAGTGTCATTTCTTCCGTGTTGTCACATGAAAAGATATACTAAAATATTTATGAAACGTGAGGGGGTATACTCCTGTGATATACTGTACAACTGATTATTATATCTTTGACTCTTTTCCTCCTTTAGCAGCAACTGCAGATCTGTACTAATGTTATAAAAAAACAGTTAACCCAGATCTTTGTTACAAAACTTTGGAAGCATCTCTCCTTGGAAGACTTTGTGTCAGGTTCTGTGGTTGTTAGATTTCAGTGGTCATTATTCCAAGCCCCTTTGTCTAGTGCTTGAGGATAATGGGAGTTGTAGTACAACAACATCTGGAGAACCACCAATACATCACTGCTGCTTTTTATTATGTGAAATGTAATGCATGAAAAATTACATCCTCAGCTCTGTTGTGCAATGTGTTCTTAATATGTATTTACATTTTTATATATATCTTTAAACCTATCTAAAACTTGTAGGGTGTATTTAGGCAAACTTTACTAGCAGCACGTACCATGGGCCAATAAAGGAAAAGGCTCTGCTCTTCAAACTCACCTGTTTTAATCAACCAATCAAAAAAAAAAAAAAAAAGGTTGCTAGCTTAATGTTTAGATCAGTTGCCCCAACGTAGAGTCCTTCAAATGTGTTGAACCACAGTTCCCATAATTTTGATCAGGATGGCTTTTGGGGACAGGGAATAGGACAACACATCTGGTGGACCCCATGGTTGGGAAGAGTGTTGGAGTTTTCACTGTTGGACCACCTCTGGCTGCTATCCCCCTCATATTTCCATGGCTACGGTTAGAAGACACATTTCTGCAAGCTGCAAGCTGATTGGGGGGGAAAAAGACTCATTTTCCTCATTCATTTGAGGACTGCCATTGTAAGCAGCCCTTAGATGATGGTTAACTACTAAATAAAACTGTAAAAAGCAAACAACTTTTCCCTATTCTTCCATTTCTGTTAGGTCAGTATATGAGGATCTTGTTGCCAATGGAGTCATTGAGCCAGCCCAGGAAGTTCCTCCCCCGACTGTGCCCATGGACTACTCATGGGCAAGGGTAGGTTTTCTCTTTTTTGAGTGGTCAGTGGGACCAGTCTCTCGTCCATGGGGGGGGATGCACGGTTTAATGTGTTTCTTTGAATCCTCTCATCAAAGCATTTTCTGTAGATTAAAAATTTGCATTAGCTTATGCTAAGAAAGGCGGATCAATGTAAAATAAGACAATGACACGATAAACATCAGGTCTTCCACAAACGTGTTTGAACCATATTGCTAAAGAGTAAGGCAGAGCACTGTGTGTGTATATGTATGTATGCATGTGGCATAAACGTTATTAGAGACATGGACTTTGTTGAGAGTCTAAACCTTTGTGAAGGATGAAGCATTCCAGGCTATAGGTGAGGACTAAAAAAGTGTGGACTATTTTCCATATGCAAGCATTTCTTTTACATGGAAGATTAGCTCAGAAGGATTTAGCCTTGCATTTTCTGTGGCAAGCTAGAATTCTTCATAAAGACAAGGATTAGGAATCCGTTTTTCCATGTTTTGGGATGCAACTCTCAGAATTCCCAAGAATTCTGTGAATTGCACCCCGGAAACCCAAATCTGCGCATACCTATATGTTTTGCTCCCTCTCGAGAAAGGATTCCAAGTCATTTGATTACATCACTGGCTTCTGCATCCTTGCTTCCTGTTGTTGATTTGTTTGTTTTTAAAGCTGTTGTGGTGCATCCTGGGAACCATCATTCTGCTGCCCATTAAGCCCTATAGAGGGTGCCTCCCAAAGAACTACATCTGCCAGGAAGTATTGTAGCACCTTCTTATTATTATTTTTAAACAAATCAGCATTCTGGAGGCCAGGCTGCCTTAAGTGATAGTGCAGGTAAATGACTTGAAAATCTTTCTCTGGGGGAAGCAAAACGTACAGGTGTGCAGATTTGAGTTTCTGGGTTTCTTGGAGAATTCCAGGAATTGCAATCCACAGATACAAGGGACTACACCCCTAGCATGGACAACCCTACTATTAGGAAGAGGGAGTGACCTCTCAGGCAGTTGATACTGGTGTCATGAAAAAGCAGTAATCTGTTAGTCACTGAATTCATTGTTGTTGTATTTTTACTACCAGGAAGAGGGAAAGGTGCTTGTAGGATTTTCTGTCTGAAGCACCTAAATAGCCTGCCTTGCTCATACTATGTTGCTTCACTTGATTATTTGTGTGTGGGCATGAGGCCAACGTCTACCATTATGCCTGAGGTTGCAATATGTTTTGGTCTGACCTTGCATGGAGAACATGATTTGTATAGAGCAGAACTTGCTTGTGTGATTCTTCACTCACATTTTGCAGTGGTTCAGCCCAGGCATAGGTTAACTAACTAATGCGATCAAAGAAAAAAAATCTCAGTGTTGTTTAAACCTCTTTCTCTCTCCTTGTTCCCCCGTGGCCTCTTAGGAACTTGGCTTAATCCGGAAACCAGCTTCATTTATGACTAGCATCTGTGATGAGAGGGGTCAAGAATTGATCTATGCCGGCATGCCCATTACTGAGGTGTTCAAGGAAGAGATGGGAATTGGTGGTGTGCTGGGTCTGTTGTGGTTCCAGAGAAGGTAAAGACTCCTTTTCTTGATAGCAGTTTTATTCACTTGATGGCCTTAAGGATAGGTCTTTTCTGGCCGTTTGTTGTCCTGAGCATCAACCCTACCTCTAGGAAATCTGACACTGAGGGAGGAGGATGTTGAAACACATGGGATGAATTTTTCTTGGTAAAATAAACTTGAATATTGGGTTTTTTTTTTCAATTGAAGTTCAGCAACTGTTCCTTGGGACCAAACCGAACTCTCTGGAGGGGTGCTATGTGGTTCCTCTAAACTGCAACACTAGAGATTAAAAAGATGTGGAGTAATGGTACAGTGGTGCCTCGCTTAATGAATGCCCTGCATTACGACAAAATTGCTGTACGACAATCTTTTTGCAATCGCAATTGCCATCACAAAATTATGGTCTAAATAGGGTTTTTTCGCTTTCCAATGATCAGTTCCCTGCTTCGGGAACCAACTCTTCGCAAAACAATGTTTTTAACAGCTGATCGGCGGCTTCAAAATGGCCGCCGGGTAAATAAAATGGTTCCCCGCTGTGTTTTGGGATGGATTCCTCGCTATACAGGCAGCGAAAATGGCCGCTATATGGAGGACCTACACTGGATAGTGAGTTTTTACCCCATTGGAACTCATTGAATGGGTTTCAGTGCATTTCAGTGGGGTTTTTAATTTCGTTTTACAATGTTTTCGCTTAACGGCGATTTTCCTGGAACGGATATCGTCATTAAGTGAGGCTCCACTGTATATGTAAAAACAACATTTTTTAGCTCTAGCTTTTAACAGGTAGGGGTTGAATTGGCAGTTCACAACTCCTCCCTCAAAAGTAACGTACCTTGCTAACCAAGTACCTCAGGAGGGGATGGTGGGAGAAGTGACAACCAAATGAGATTTATGAAGTAACATGCAACATAAAGAGTAAACTAAGAGTGGGGCAGACTTCTTCAAATAACTCAGTCATCTGCTGAAGCATTTAGGGGACCTTAATCCCAGAGCTTGAAAAAGTTACTTTCTTTTTACTAGACTATTACCAGCCAGCACAGCTAGTAGCCATGAGGCTGTGGGACTCTTGGAGTTACAGTGGTGCCCCGCATAGTGACGTTAATCCGTTCCAGGATTAACGTCGCTATCCGGATTCGTCGCTATGCAGGGGGAAAAACCCCATAGGAACGCATTAAACTCCGTTTAACGCGTTCCTATGGGGGAAAAACTCACCGGTAAGCGAAGATTCCCCCATCCAGCCGTCATTTTCGCTGCCCGGTAAGCGAGGGCAGGGCGCGAAAACGCTGCGGGTGGCCATTTTGCTGATCCGGCGGCCATTTTGGAACTGCCGATCAGCTGTTTTCTAAACATCGCAATGCAAAGATCGGTAAGCAAAACGCTTACTGATCATCGCAATGCAATGTTTAGCCTATCTAAACATCGCAATGTGATCGCATTAGCGATTGCAAAAAACACATTGCTATGCAGATTCATCGTTAAACGGTGTGCTCGTTATGCGAGGCACCACTGTATAGTTCAAAAAAGTAATGTTTCCAAGCACTGCCTACAATTCCAAGCATTATTCCAAGATAGAGATGTGTTAATATGTTTAGAACATTGCACAATAGTATTTATTTATTTATATGCTGCCTTTCTCCTAGTAGGGGACTCAAGGTCACTCACAACAGCTGAAAGTACAACCATCAACAGTTTTAAAATGCCATATATGTGCCACATGAAAAGACAAACATATTAAGATTAAAATCAATTTAAAACATTTTGAAAAGATTTAGAAATTTCTAAGCTTAATAAACATTGCATCCCTGAGACACTTACTACTTAACGGCCTGCCTGAAAAGGAAGGTCTTTGCTAGACAACAGGTAGACAAGAGGGAGGGGGGCAACCTGGCTTCTCAGGGCAGCATATTCCAAAGCCTGGGAGCAGGCACTTGGAAGGCCCTCTCTTGTGTCCTCACCAAATAAGCTTGGAAAAGTGGCGGAACTAAGAGAAGGGCCTCCCTAGAAGATCTTAAAAGCTGAGAAGGCTCATATGATGTGATATCCTTCCAGTAGCCTGGACCCAAGCCAAGTATAGTAAATGAGAAAGAACCATTTGCCAGGGCCACATTGCTAAATACATAGTACTCCCAAACTGGAAGGTTGTTATTACACAAGATAATAAGATTCTCTCTCTCCCTCTGTCTCTCCCCCCTCTCTCCCTCCCTCCCTCACTTCTGCTCCCACATCTGCCTTATCCTAGCATGTTTGCTGGGAATTATCAGTCTGACTGATTTAGACCGGCTGATTAGCTTGCCTAGCATCCAGGAGCCCCTTGTTTCTTCTAAGAGCTTCTAATGAAGTAGTTCTTGAAAACTGAGATTCTTGCCTGCTCCATCCATACCCAGACTGGCAATGGGAAACTGAAGTATCAGTTAATTCAGATAGGGTGGGGGAACATGTGTATTTTAGAGTCATGGCCTCTCTTGAGACTACAGGTGCTGTTATTTATCATGTGGTGAGTATACATGGCTAGCTAAGAAGAAGAGACTCCACAAGGCCACACTGGAGCATTCCCTTGCTCCACTCTTTTTTTCATCATTGTAGTTGACTAAGGGAAATTCTTAAGGCTTAGTCATGCAGTGGTGTCCAACTTTGGGTCCCTGGACTACAAATCCGAGAAATCCTGACCAGCACAGCTCATGAGGAAAGCTTCCTGGAATTTTAGTCCAAGAACATTTGGGGACCCAAGGTTGGGAACCATTGGCTTAGTGGAAGGGTGGGCGAAGTATAATGACATATACCATATGTTATTGGACTGCAATTTTTAGTTTTCCTCACCATTGACTATACTGCCTTGGACTGCTGGGAGTCACTATAATTAATAATGTTATTATACAGTAATTAATAATATTAAAAATGGATTTCTGAGCTTTCCATTTCTCCAGTCCTCCACTGGAACTTGAGCACGGTAGACCTGTTTCCTTCTCTTTGAGTATTAGGTAAACAACTTATTATCTTGGCCACAGATCCTTCAAATTTACCATTTTGTTTTTTTAGAAGTCTTAGACCTAGTATTGCAGCAGTCTTTTTGATTTCTGTATTAGCCTAGATGCAATTCAGAGGTGACTCTATTTATCATCTAGTCTGCCTATCAGACTGAATAATTGGCAATTGCAGAACTCCCTGCCCCCCACAACACCTTTGGAATCAGTGACTCAGTGTGATTTATCTGTATCCGTTTTTAGAACTCTTGAAGAAAGTTTTTGATCAGAGGTCTGTGAAGTGCAGCCATCTAGGTCTTGTTGGCTGAAACTCCCAGCGTTCCTCACCATTGGTTGTGCTGGTTACGGCTAATGGGAACTGTAGTCCAGTGACATCTGGAGAGTTACATTCTGCTCATATCTCCAGTAGACAGAACATCTCCTGTGGGACTAGAAATCTGGAGATTTCTAACGTGATTTAAGTCTTTCTTAAGTGATTTATTTTTAATTTTTTAGAACATGTTGTTCAGTACTCAATAGGGATGTGATTCTGCTAATTCTTTTTGCGGTATATCTCAAGAGCTGAAAATAAGGTGAAATAGAAAACTTTTAAAGATAAGTAACATGTTTAAAATATCTTTAACCCTCTAGGTTACCCAAATATGCCTGCCATTTCATAGAAATGTGTTTGATGGTGACAGCAGATCATGGTCCAGCAGTATCAGGAGCCCATAACACGATTGTTTGTGCAAGGGCCGGGAAGGACCTTGTCTCCAGTCTCACCTCCGGCCTGCTCACAATTGTAAGCATTGAACAATAGCTGGATAAAAGTAGGAAGTCTTGCCATTGTTGGGGTGTGGCTGAGGATTTTTGTTGAACAAATGTCAAATTCCACAACAGCATTCAATCTGTGATGCTTGGCCTGTTCTTCACACTCCTCCGCTTCCCCCGCTTCCCCAAGACTTCCTCTGCAGCCCTCTAATACATTGAAATATAAATCCCACATGTTCTCAGGTCTATGTTAGGTTGTTTTGTACCACTCAGGTTGGTTTGCTGGTGATTTTGCCTTAGACTCGAAAATTTCTCTTATGTTACTAATGAAGAGATTGCTGTATTTGTTGTCTCCATGTTGTGTCCATTCTTATTGTTTTTCCGCTTTAATGTTCTATCCAAATGAATTTCTGCTAGTTAGATAACGTGAGTCAGAACCTGGGTGATTTGGTTGAGCATGTTGGTCAGGAAAAATGACATACAAGCAAGATGGGGGTGACCCTGTTAGTTGGGAGGAAGAGAGTTTTCACGCAGACCACCGTTTTTGAACCAGACCTACTAGACATGCCTGGAAACAGAATATCCCAAGTAATTTGTATTTTCATTTCTTCTCACCAAAGTGAGTTCCCATAAGAAGTAAGCACACGTGCCCTTTTCTTAGAGACCTACTTACTAAAATTGGCCACCAGCAGTTTAATCTACTATTACCAGTTTCCTGTTTGGAAGGGCCACCCAGCTTTTTACTGATTTTTTTTTCTCCCTAGATAGTGCCATTCCTGATGGAATGTCTCACTGGCCTGAATTGTTACTGAGGGTGTAAGCCTGTGTTTAGAGGAGTTGTGGTGGTGCAGTGGAATGCTTCTCTATACAAAACAAAACAAAAATCCTTCATATAAACCATATAAGCTGAGGAAAAGTATTTTTTTAGCTTGACCTTTTTGTCACATGCTAGTTTTTTCTATATAATAGTAATATCTTTTGATATGAAGGAACAGTCCGGTATGTGAACCTCTCCTACAAAGTGAAGTGTTACACTCAGACACGGCTTACTGCTGGAGTGGGGCGGGGGGGAACCAAACCTTTTTAGTGAGGTATATTGTACAGAGACTATGCTAGAGTGTCTGCCTGACCCACCAGCTTGTTCTTGTTATGGTCTTGAGATTTTCTATCCTACCTTATCCCAGGAGGAAAGTATTTTGAATTTTACCTTTGGTTTGCAAATTTCTAGGGAGATCGGTTTGGTGGTGCTCTGGACGCAGCAGCAAAGATGTTCAGCAAAGCGTTTGACAGTGGCATCATTCCTATGGAGTTTGTGAACAAGATGAAGAAAGAAGGGAAGCTGATCATGGGCATTGGCCACCGGGTCAAATCGGTAGGTGGTCTGTCTGCTGAGAGGGGTTGTTAGGATGAAGCTGAATGACATAGAATTAGGATCCAGGTTTTAAGGGTGTTTGGTCAGAGTGTGAAGTGAGTATTCACTCAGAGTACTTGGTGTTTCAAACGTTGTTTGTCTCATTATAATTATGATTGTAATTATTTGCAGATCAATAACCCTGATATGAGGGTTCAGATCCTCAAGGATTATGTGAAACAGCATTTCCCTGCAACACCTCTTCTAGACTATGCACTAGAAGTGGAAAAGATTACTACTTCTAAGGTATCAGTCTTGCCTTTTCTCTCTTGCTGACTTATAATAATTAATACCTCCCTGCTTCCATCTGTTAGAGAACTACGTCTACCATAATTTTGATGAGGTTCCTGTAAGAGCTTGGGAAATTATTTTCAGAATGTAAGTTGAGTTATTCACAGCAAAGGCCCAGAAAGTAACTCATTATTCTTAATGGTATAACATTTCATTTAAAAAACGCATTCCTCCCTCCAATGAATTGCTCATTATATCGCTCATTACATTTTGAAAGGGAAGAGCTGCCAGCTGTTTTAATTACAGGTGGGGTGGCTGAGATGGGAATTGCTTTAACTGTTATTTTAAAACGTATCTTTTCCCAGCAGCATAGGACCCTGCCTTCCAAGCACTTCCAGGCACTTTATAATGAAACAACATTCTTAAGCCATTCAAGATAGCCTTGCTTGGAGCTGATGTATTTCTTGTAGGCTTAAAACTGCTGCCTTGTATTCCTTGGAGGAAGAAACCTGATATTTATGTCTTTTCTTTCTAACTCTCTTTGACCCATAGAAACCTAACCTCATCCTGAATGTAGATGGATTTATTGGCGTGGCCTTTGTTGATGTTCTCAGGAACTGTGGCTCCTTTACACGGTGAGCAATGAGCTGCCTGGCTTGGTCGTTGCCATGGTTGTGAAATTTGCTTCTAGCACATCTCCTGGCACAAAGCAAACTGAGACCTTGGGACCAAATGTGAATCATGATGATTTTTTTACAACCCCTCATCAAAATGGGGGGGGGGGGTTTCCCCCCTAGTTCTGCTCTTCCAGCAGGGTATATCAACCTGTAATACCCATTTATTGAAACCTTATGTGAATTTTTGGATACTTGCAGTCTCACCCCACCCCCACGCGGTTTTTGGTAGCCTTTTTGGAGAATACTGGGGCAGAATATTGTCTCTTGGAGCTGCTAAAGTTGTCCACTTCTGGCTTAGCTGAAGGAAAACAACAGAGAAGTTCATGCTCATTGGAAAGTAGATGGGATGATTTTTCTTTTTTTAAAAAAAATCTCATATTTAATTTCAAGCTTCTCTTGCTTTTGAAAGAATGTGGCCAATGTCACGATCAGGTTTCTCTAAAGGAGAACTTGACTGGTCGGACAGAGAGTAATTAGAGGTCTGGGCACCCTCATGCAGCTGGGTTGAGTCTAGGTGACCTCAGCCAAGGCATGCAACAAACTTCCTCTTACAAGTCTGCCCTAAAAAGATACTTGCTCAACCTTAGGAAAAATCAATAAGAAATTACACATGAGCTTTGTAGTCCTTAGACCCACTTGGCTCAATAAGGTAGGACTCAATAGCTTACTGTGGCCTTGCTTCCCCCTCAGGTTATTGCTAAGACAGCTTCACTGCTCAAGAGAGCAAAAGATTTTATCATTATTATTTTTATTGAAAAAATATAGATTTACAGAATAAAGTCAGTTTGATGCAAAAGCATAGCATATGGTTTTTCAAGGCTTGATACAAAATAGAAATGAAGCAATAATTCCCTTTAATTACAATAGCTCTAAGAATCTTTAGAAGCTTCCTTAGGGTAGTCAAAAGGCATAACCCCCCCCCCTTACTTTCTTCCTTGTCTCCCTACATCTCCCTCAGTCCTTTACCTGCACTGGGTAGCAGGCAAACAGACGTAGAAAAACTATGATGGATAAAAATTGTAGAACAAAAGAAAGAATCTCTGCACATAGTAAAAGTTCCTTTTTCAAGCTTCTTTGGAACCACCCTTCTCCTCCGTCTCTCAAGCTGTCATCCAATCACGGCATAAGGTTATGGAAACAGTTCCTCCTTCTCTTCTCATGAGAAACAGGTGTTGTTTTTCTCAGTCCATTGCCTTCTACGCCACAACAAGTGTCTCGGCTTCTTATCTTGTAATGGTTTGTCCAGGCCTAAAGCAAAAACATTCCCACAGCCCTCTGGAAATACACTCCCAGCATGCAAAATCATTTCTACACAGAACCAATACGGAATCCATTTTATATTGTTCACAACTACATATCCCATCTCCAACCCTGACAGCCAATACAAGCTGGTGTGGGGGTTCCATGTCCGGAAACCATGGCTCTCCCGTGACTAGTGGGTAAAACAGGGAAGCAGGTCCTCTCTGGCAATTATCCATGCTTCCTTTTCGTGTTTAGAGAACCAGCAGTCTGTGACATACATGAGATTAGAAGGTGGAGGTGGCTTGTAGTTGGACTTGTCTCTTCAAAAGAAGGTCTGCCAAGCTACCGGGGGGGGGGGGGGGGGGGAGAGCATACCTACGCATGCCCACATACAAAGAGGTGACTCATTCTCTTTGGTACTGCCAAACACCTACTACAGGATTAGTGTTTGAAAGAAAAACCATTTGCTTTCTCTTGCAGGGAAGAAGCTGATGAATATATTGACATTGGTGCTCTCAATGGCATCTTTGTGCTTGGCAGAAGTATGGGATTCATTGGTAAGTCCTGTACACTGCATATCCAGAGTGCAGATCTCTTTTTCATAAAGCAGGAGACTGGTCTCTGTCGTTCCCAACTTGATAGTTTCCGCCAAAGAAAGCTCGGGGCATACATTTCTCAGTGAGAAAGATGGGTGAATAGCAGTGGTTCTACTAAATATGGTGGTTCTGATTGCCTGTTTGGGCCCACAGCCAAGGAAAGACGCAGTGTTACATCTAAGAAATACTCATAAATTGCTTGTTATCTAAATGTTTTGTTATCTCAAGCACATTCTTTGAATCCGAAGGCTTCCACCCATTCTGCTACTTGAGCCGATCTTTTAAGATGGGCACATGTTCCTTGGTTGCAGCACCCAAAGGCTTTATATCATCTCAGTTCGCATGCTCTGCAGTTGCAAAGTACTTTATTTCCAGGATGTTTCCATTTTAACACAGACCTTGAACGTCAACAAGGGAGGCAAGGTTATTCTGTCCTTCCCCTACCTCCCCAACTAATCTGGCTTCAGAACAGAAGAATTCATAAAAATACATCAGTTGCCCAAGGCTACTGTAAATCAGCTACAGTGGTCTACTGCAAACCTGGGCAAAGTGCAGCTGGAGGGCCACATACGGCCTGCGAGCCGCCCCTGTCTGGCCCGTGGACAGTTTTGAACATCAAAACCATTTATAGCTTTTTGTCTAAAGTTGATCAGTTGCTTATCTNNNTGCTTATCTATCTATCTATCTATCTATCTATCTATCTATCTATCTATCTATCTATCTATCTATCTATCTATCTATCTATCTATCTATCTATCTATCTATCTATCTATCTATCTAATCTATTTATTTATTTATTTATTTATATCCCGCCTATCTGGTCGTGTCAGGACCACTCTAGGTGACTAACAACATTAAAAGATAATACAAAAAATATACGTATAAAGACAATTTTACATACCATATCTTTAACATACCGCAAAAAAACTCTTTAGTATTTGTGAAGATTAACAAGTTTAAAATAAAAACAATCATAACATCACTGTTTCATTTTATTTTTAAGTAAAGTTGGTTCGGCCCCCAAACAGAGTTCAAATTTTTCATGTGGCCTTCCTAGAGAAATTCATTGCCCACCCCTGGTCTAACGTGATCTTAATCCATCTCTCCCTGTGTACTATGTGTGATTGTGGCACAAATATTGCATTACCCCAACTCCTGTGGAACAGAAACGTCAGCTACAAGGTCAGGATGTAGTTACAAGAAGCAGTCTTAAAAGAGCAATTTACAATAAGAATTGTTTTAATTTCAGGACATTATCTGGACCAGAAGAGGTTGAAGCAAGGTCTGTACCGTCACCCTTGGGATGATATCTCCTATGTTCTGCCGGAACATATGACTATGTGACAGCTGAAGGAAGCAAAATGAGTTGCCTTCATAGAAGGCCAACAAAGGGCATGACTGCGTTGTATGCCCTGGCTGCTGAGGTATAGGAAGTCAAGGACTGATAGGCTGAAATTCTACCCCAGGCAGCCTTTTAGAGGCCTAGATCCTATAAATAATGATAAACCAAAACCTGTTGCTATTACCTGCTGTATTTAATATATAAAAGCAGTTGCACAGCCTTTGCTTTTTACTTCTCTCTGTGTGTTGATTGCTTGTGTTTTCTTTTCTCTCCCCACCCTAAGTTTTCTGCAGTGTTTTCTGGCCAAATTTTAATGTTTTTATTTTCATCCATGACCTCATTAGACTTGAAGAACCAGAGGCGTTGAGCCTCCTTTACCCACATCTTGAAGAACATTGTTTTCACAAGCTGTATAATTCTGTGATACATTTGCCCCCCTCTGTATGTTCCTCTTCACAGTCAGATTGTATTTCTGTGCAGCAGCACTACTGCTGATTTAATAAGCCATTCCAGGTCTGGTGTCGTGATTTTAAAATGTAAACTGGTAACATAAGCTCTTGTTCAAAACTGTGAAATTTGCAAGCATTCCAGTTTCTGTATTTAAGCAGCTAATATTTTTACTTCACATCAAAAATACCTGAAAGAGAAAACAGTTCATGCAAAGCCTAGTCTCTGGAGTCTTGCTGTGTACACAAGATACTTCACTGTTTGGGCTTCTAATATATCCAAAAGAATAATCACCTCTTATCTGTGTATTATAACCTGTCTCAAATAAATAGTACCATAATAAATTGGCTTATCGGGATTTTGTGAATAGCACCTTAGATTGGAATGTGTCTTTTCTGCGGAAACATAGTTTTCACAGTGAGGGGAGTGGGAAGCTTGTTTTTATTTTAAAAATGTTCATTTTACTTGAGCGTATGATTCATTGATTTTGAAGGTACTGTACTTGTTGTTCTGCAAACCCCTTACAGCATTAAGCATGCTGAAAGCATAGTTCTTTCTCAAATTTATTCTTTAACAAATAGAAGAATGGGGGTTGTTTTTGAGATAAAATTTGTAGATATTGTTTTCTAGATGCAGACATTACTACAGCCACTCTTAAAAATCATAATTTGCAGATTCTTATAGAATGAAGTAGTGGCAAAGTTGCCCAGATCCTTTTGAACGCAGTAATGAAAAAGTTAAATGAGGTCAAGCCTTAATGCTACCCTATGCCCTATGCTTTCAACAATTTGTGGTATGAGCTCTGTAAACTGGGATATACAGTAATAGCTGAAATGACCCTACTGTGGCTTTCTATGCTAAATGAAGTTGCAACTAGAATAGGCTTATTTGTATCAATGGGACTTATGAAAGAGTTGACTCTCCACATCCCCAATGATTCAGTGACCCTACCATAGTGCAATTTGCACTAAGCAGCAGGATTCTAGCTATTACAGATTTGCCATTTGAACAGAAAAGTGGAATCTGCAACAAAATATTGCAGTCTAAATAAAAGGGTTGAAAAGTTTGAGCTACTCTCAAGCCTAATGACCACTCCCTTTTTATATGAGTAGCTTTGGCTATGTAAACATCCAGCCTTAGCAAATATAAGAGGAAAAACCTTTGAGCATAGCCACCCAGATTAAAACTGGTGAAGCAAAAAAATTATTTTCTCTCTTGCATCACAATTCAGTGGGAGAAATAGTTTTTTGATGTCAGAGTATTTATATTCAGTTAATCTCTGACATGCAAAAATAATTCTGTGAAGACTGAACAGTGGCATCACATGTCCTGATCTCATGTCTGTCATGTCCTCACCTTCTGATCATGCTTCTTATGTGGTAAGGGTTAACACTCTGTGAAGAACCTGGTGAAAAGAAGGATGCTGGGAAGACGAGGGTTAATCAGTTCCTATTGTCCTGTGACAGTGCAGTGCTAGACTCCTGGGTTGGAAAGAAGAGAGGAGGGAGAAACTGCCTGTTAATTAAATGGAGTCTAAACCTGTTTGGTATGTTATCTGTGTACTATTCTTCTCATGGCACCTTAATTGTAAGAACCTGTTTCAGCCAGACCCAAGGGAGTGGCAGAGAGAAAGGATGCAAACGTTACTTTGGTAAAAGTGACTCCCTGCTAGAAGGTTCCATGATTCAGAAAATAGTGAGGAATCAAACTCTAGCTCTGTAGCCAAATAACCCAATCACTATCCTAGTGTAGCTTACCTAGCTTTATTATTTTATGTGAGGATTATTCTGAACAACTAGTTTTTTTTTTAACCCTCTGAGATGCTTTTCAAGCCTGGTGTTTTGTTTGTAATGGATTTGCTTCACATCTTTTCACTCTTCGGAATCTTTGAATTTGCTTTTGAATGTATTCTCAAAGGCTTTCACAGCTGGGATCTGATGGTTGTTGTGGGTTTTTCAGGCTCTTTGGCCGTGTTCTGAAGGTTGTTCTTCCTGATGTTTCGCCAGTCTCGGTGGCTGGCATCTTCAGAGGACTGGAGTAGGAACTCTGTCCATGCTCTGTTGCTATTTGTTGGGTAGTTGAGTATTTATAGCTGTGGGAACAGCTTTTGTCCTTTTCAGGAGATAGGGTGATTAGCGTGTTTTTGTTGTGGGTGTATTGTTGTGATAAGTGGGGAGAGATTATCTGTCACTGTGGTTGATGGGTATCTTTAGCTGGTCTTTATTGTGCAATGATCCCTGGTCCTTGTGGCTGGGTAGAGTTCGTTGACCTTCTGCAGGCTGTATTTCTTTACATCTTTTTGCAACATCTTTACATCTTTTTGCAACACCTTTACATCTCAGGCTCAAGAGCAACAGCAAATTATAAAAGTGTATAGCCTGTGTGGTCACTCTGGGAAGGAGGAGTTTGGAGTACTGAAGAAGGTGGGTGCCTTGCACTTGGGATTTTGAATCTTTTGTGGGTCCTACCTGGTAGGATTGATTTGTGGATTCAAGCAAGGAACCTTGTGATTTTTGATAACTCCCTGGAACACTGAAGGAGCAGGCTCAGAAGTGTTAGAGTGGGTCAGACAGGAAGCTTTTTCTAACCAGCAGTACACTTGACCCTCCTGGAAGGTGCCCATGCCAGGAAAGCTAAGGGTAGTGTGGCTGAGTGGTCAATGGTTCCTCTCTGTTGTGACCAGTATCACGACACACAACGTACAGTAGAGGAGCAAGCTCTAAGCAGGGACAGCATGAGTTGAGGCAAAAAGTATGAAACCACCACCACCCTTCCTTGCCCCCAACACCTTCTCTACTCATCTTGCCTATTTCACTTCAGGGCTTATGCTGATACTAAGCAACATCTTGGAACTGTGCTGTGAATAACTAGTGTAGACTGTCATTACCAGTGAGAAAAGGATAATTAAAAGATTTCTCCAAAGGACTCGCATTCTACTCTTTTTGTGTTTTCTTACTACAGTTTCTCAATGTACTGTCTACGTATGACTTAGGACTTTTAAAGATCCTAGCCTTGCTGTAACCTTATCTGTGTGTAAGAGATTCTTGGCTTTTCTCTAAACCTACAAAAGAAGTGGTCATCATAGTAGCAACAGGAGGAATGGTGATGCCACTTCTCTATCCACCTACTTTTCCTTACAAGGAACTGATTTTTCTATATAACATAAATCAGCTCTCATGTTTCTACCAGTTCACCTGGAGTCCCTTGGAGCCTCGGAAGCTTCTATAGCTTTAAAGCACTTGGTGCCGGGACCTCCCTTACACCGGCTATATAACTCCTCCCCCAGCACCCAGTGCCTCAGTTCTTTGTTCTTTTTCAACCTCCGCTGTAGCAGCAGCTTCGTGTTAGGAACTTGCCAAGTGAAAAACAATTCTATTCTTTATCTTTCCTTTCTTTTGACCTCCCTTGTGCAAGTGAAAAACAATTATATTCTTTATCTTTCCTTTTTTTTTGACCTCCCTTGTTTTTTCTTCAGCAACAAATTATTTCTTCTGCCTGGGGAAAGAGCACCAGCCTGCATTGTGTATTCTTTGTAAGAGTGTTACAAAGCCAGCTTTGGAGCCTTCAGGGATTTTCTCTTTTTTAAAAAAAGCCTCTTTTACCTTCTTAGCAAGGCTACCCCCAGGCTCAAGAGCAACAGCTATCCACCTCTTTGTAATCTTCCTCTTCACATCAAAAAAGAAGAGGACAGCATCTGAGCCGAGTCTGCAAGGGCTCCCTGCAGCTCCTGCCACCTTCTCCACCTGTCAGTAATATTCCTGAGGTAAAAACCTTTTTGGAGGTTGGTAATTTGAGGTGGAACAGCCCTCCTTCATCAATGGGCTTGTTCACACAGCTGCTAATTCTGGAGAGAGCTGGGTGTCAAGGCCGAAGATGTCCCGGCAACATACGGTAAGGCTTGGCTTTGCCTTTGGGGAAAGAAAGGTCCTACTGCTAGCCCCACCTGTCAGTGATATTCCTGACTGGGGTAACACCTTTTCGGTGATTGATAATTTGGCATGAAACAGCCTTCATTTATCAATGGGCTCGTTCACACAGTAGCCTGCGGTCTCACCTCAGCCGCCGGCGCCAGCATAGGCTCATGGGGAAAAGACTCATAAGAGTCGGCCCAAAAACCCTGCGGCTGTCAGGCAGACCTGAGTATTTTTCCTCAGTAGGGTCCTATCACGCTGACAAATTCAAGCAAGACCAGTCCCTTATTTCGGTATAAGAGCTATGAGCTTTATTCGCCACCTTTTCAGCCACCGCCGCCGCCCTACTCCACCTGGCACTGTTCTGAGCCATGGGCCGAGGAGCATTTTGTGCCTCCACCTACGCTTCAGAGGAGTAGTGCTCCCTTGATCTTGGCTCCAGCAGCAAAGTGTCCGCAGGTTCGACTGAACCTGCTGTTAATCCATTCAGCCTTCTCCGTCCCGGCGGCAGTTTTGAGACTGATCTTCGTCAGTCTCATGCTAAGAAAGACTTCTCCCCTAATCATCAGAAGGACTTGCCTTATTCAGGTTGGGACTCAGAGGGGGAGGAAGATTTTCCAACCAATCTTCCTACACCCATATCAGTTGCCGCAGATAGTCACCCTCCTTTACCTTTAGTAGGTTGTTCTTCATATTCCTAACTGATACAGAGAACATAGATAAGGAGTTCTTTGGTTGACATTTTTTATTCTCTGGCCACCATGTAGCCAATTACTCCACTGCCATGGGCGCTTATCATCACCACTTATGGAGTTTGGCACTGCCCATTCTACAGGTTGCTCCTGTACACCTTTACAGCCAGGGCCTCTCATATCACCAGGAGGCAATGGGGCTGGCGCATCACAGGATGGTGCAAAGGAACAATAGCAAGGCCCGAAGTTCAGGCCTTGCTATTGATCCTTTGCAGCATCCCCAAAAAGGATGGAGGCCTCTGGCCCATCCTCGATCTTGGAGGCCTGAATTTTTTTATTGCTCCACAAAGATTCCGTAGGACTTCCTTGGACTCTGCTATCCACATGTTATGTCCAGGGAGTTGGTTTACCGTGATTGAACTGTAAGGTGCTCATTTTTATGCTAGCATCTGGTCAGACCATCAACGCTTTCTCAGGTTTTCAGTTGGAGGAATCACTGTTTACCTATATTTGGATAACTGGCTGCTCTTGGCTGAGTTCGAGTCACAAGCTTGTAAACACATGTCCTTGACACCGTCTCTTTTGTCAGCGTTAGGACTAAAGGTCAACATAGAGAAGTTGACTTTGCAACCTGCACAACGTGTAAATTATATTAATGCGACTTGCCTTAGAACAAGATTTTGAAAATGCATGATTTGTTATGCTCCTTTTCTTCAGGCGCTTGGATCCCTGCCCTACAGGTCCAGCGACCTTTGGGGCTGATAGCATCTACCACAGCTGTGGTACAGCATGCTCATCTGAGGATGCAGTCCCTTCAGGCTTGGTTTCTCTCACTTTTTTGGACATCTTGCAACCACCCATCCATGTTTACTCCAGGTTACACTGGAACTTGCTGCACAACTGGACTGGTGGAGATCCCCCCCAACCTATGGATAGGGAGACCCTTTAGTCTCTTGACCTGGTTGGTTCGGTCAGTGGTGGATGCCAGCCCACCAGGCTGGGGGGGGCTTGTCAACGCCACCATGTTGCCCTTGGCCGCTGGCCCATGATAGTAGCCAGCCTGCATATCATTGTGCTGGAGCTCCTGGCAATCACCAAGGCCTTTCAGGCCTCCGAGCCCCTACTCTGTGGTTGGGTGGTCCAGGTCACATCAGACAATACCACTGCAGTTTATTATCTAAACAAGCAAGGCAGCATTCACTTGTTATTCTTTATCTTTCACACCATCGACCTTTTGGAATGGTGTTATGCTCGCCACATTTATTCAGGGGCTGTACATTTGGCAGGTGAGAACAATTCCATGGCAGTCCTTCTCAGCAGATTGCAGTCCTGCTCTCATGAGCGGGCTCTCAACAGTTTCATCTTTCATTGCCTCTGTCGTTGATGGGGGACTACGGACATGGATGCTTTTGCATCTCAAAACAAACAAGTAGTGTGCCATGTTCGGCTCCCGAGCCGGTGTCAGCCGCACCTCCCTAAGAGGTGCCTTCCTGACTAATTGGTCACGGGGCCTCCTTTACAGGTTTCACCCTTTCTCCCTTCTTCAAAGGCCTGTTGTTCAATTCCACCATGAGGGTGCGACTGTCATGCTTGGTCACCTCGCTAGCCATGGTTCTTGATCTTCCTCCCGGGACCATCATGCTGCACTTGGTCCGTCACCTACTGTCTCAGGACAGGGGTCTGATGTTTCATCGGGATCTCGGGTTTCCCTACCTGTCAGTAATGGTCGTGCTCCATTATGCTTGCACACCTTCTACCACCTTGACCTATGCGTTCTGTCCCTTTGCATCAAGATGACATTGGCCTACTAGGCTAACGTCTCTGGACCTACTTCTTCGGTTTCTTCTTCACTTGTTTGCCGGGGACTGGCCCGTTCTACCTGCATGCTATTTCTCCGCAGCCCGGAGAATATGTGCCTTGCCTATAGACCGCTAACACCTCGGTGGTCTCGCCTGTTAGGCCCCCCCTTGAGCCCTTGGCCCCCCACCTCCCTCTTCTGGTCCGTAGGTCGATTCTCCAGCCGCAAGTCGAAGTGAAACTTTGCGGCCAGAGAAGTACATAGGTCAAAAAGTACATAAGTGGAGCCGACCGTAAATCGAGACTCCACTGTAACTTTGAAGAGCCTCTGGCTTTGAGGAAAGGGAGCAAAGCTGGATTTCCTTCAGTAAGTCTTACTTAAAGGTATCATAGGTGAAGCAAAACTATCAAAAGCAGCAGAAAATAGCTTTTCTAATCCTGACAATCACCATAGGGGTCTTTTCAGTCTCTGCCAAGTTGTAGTTTTCAGCTCAATTTACCTTTAATCATAAATAGTTACAGAAGTGACAATCATTAGGATTTCCTAATGTTTAGGGACCAAACATTAGGAAACCTGAGGCAGGCACCTCAGATGGCAACTGAGGTGTTGTCTTAGCCCTGTCTGATGGCAATTTTTTTCCTTTACATATTTATATACATCAATTACTGCCCACACCTTTGAACATTATAGTGCCAGAATGGCTGATAAATCAGAAAAAAATAGACTAAAACAAAAACAGTAACAGTCTGTTTGGACAAGCAAACTAAAAACTATTATAAATTTTGAAAAGTGCCAATACTAGCAATTTTTTTAAAGATCAACATACAGTATGCTGAAATGGGGTGGGGGGAGGTGGAGGAACAAAAAAGGCCCAATTACCCCTAGGGGTAGAGATTTGAGATATTTGACCCAAGATATTTTTTACTATAGAAATCAAAGCATTCAACAACAGAGAATGGTTTTGTGTATGAGTATCTTTTTAAAAATATTACTTAAGTGCTTAGGTTGCATGTCATCACACACTTACCCAGGAGTACATGAGGCTATACTGTATTTAAATATGAGAAAGGGTAAATTTATCATCTTGGTAATGACTTCTCCAGTTGACCATTTCATTCACTCAATTTAAATTAAACTCAAACAAATGACTTGCCATCACGTTGCCAAGATACACAGACAGGGACTGAGGCAGTACTTGACAAAAATAATACAGTTCATTAAGTAGTAGGTAATTGTTTTAATTGTTGAACATTTAGGAGACCACGTGATTGAGGATCTATGGCAGGACTTGAGAATATGTGATCCATATGTTGTTGGACTAGGGTGGTCATGTGTCTACATTTACAGAGAACAGTGCTCTATTTCAAAGGTTGCCAGAGTTAGTTCTCTTTTTAAAGGTATCCTTTATTTCAAGGGCAATCCACAAGGAGGGAGAACAGGGGCTCAAGTTGTAAATCTAAGGTTGTATCTGGGCAGCAAATTTGGTGTAGTTTGTCTTGCCCCTTTAGTTCACATGTATTGAAATTTTAAATTATAAAAGTAATTTTTTGTCTTGTGCACATAATTTGCAAATTTATACAAATATGCAAAAAATATTCTGTATGTATGTGAGTGGATACCCTATATTAGACTAAAACTCCCATCAGCCCTATCCAACATGGCTACAGCAAGACAAAATGGAAGTTGTAACTCAGCATCTGGAGAGCCATATGTTCCATTCCCTCATCCATGGCCTTTGTATTCACCAATAAGGGCCAAGAAGATTCTTGCAGTCTTTATTAGAGCTCTGTTCTAAACAGAGCACCCAGTCAAATATGTCAATAAGCTACAAGCTGGATTGTGATCCTTCCTGTCCATACACTGCAATATGGGAATAACAGTGTTGGACTACTCTGGAAGGGTACCATAAACTATTCTTGCTCCTCTTCTACTGATCCCCTCGTATATGCCATACCTGGATTTACAGTGCAGTGTTTAAATGTTTGGAAAACACAACCCATGTTTTCTGCACCAGATGAGATTTGAGTATTGATTCCACTTTTGGAAAACTTTTAAGTCCAGACACAACCAATGTGAAGGAGAGACAGAAAAAAAGAGAAAGAGAGAGAGATCAGAGTGAGCTGTCCTCACGAATAGAAACACTGGAACGTGAGAGAAATAAGTGAACAGAAAGAAACGATGGTGCAGTAGGAGAAAAGGGAGGAATAGAGTTGAAAGGAGGATGAGGAAAGGTTGAAGTCCGCTTAGTGGAGGAGGGAGAAAGAGGAAAGGAGGAGGAGTTAAATGTGCCGGTATGGGAGGAGGATATAAAGGATCAGGGGGAGAAGAGGAATTTTAGTATATCAGGAAGAGAGATAAAGGAAGGAGGAGGATAGTGAGAGGAAAAGAGATGAGTTCACATACGAGAAAACCTGCGGATTATTGAAAGATTTCCCGAATTTGAAAGTAGGCGGATTACTGCCCGATCCAGAATTGAGAAAGGAAGGAGGATTAACTACTGAAGCCTTAGAATGGACAGTAGTAGTCTTTTCCCGAGGACAAGGAAAGACAGTGATCAGACCAGACCAGACATTCAATTTGGAGGGAGAATCGCCAGATGTTAATGTGTAAATGAAGTTGTTGATCTTTCAAAACAAAAGCCTGTCATCATCTCCCGTCAAAAGGGAGGAACTGCTCCGAGTTTCAAACGAACTCAATCACAACCAGTCAAAGTCGTGAATGTTTACTTGTCCTCTGATTAAAAAGGGGGGAATGCTACTTTCCTAAAAGTTGTTGCAACTTTTTGCCCTGCGAGAAAAGAAAATCGTAGTTAACCAAGTTAATCATGGAATAATAAGCAGTTTGTACTTCAAGACGTCTATAGCCAGCAGAAGGTTTTTAAAAGTAACGGAAGTCTAGTCTATCTTTTTTTAATCTCTATGGTTACGCAAGTGACGTATTTCGGGCGTAGTCGGGAAAGACCGACTTCGATGAGGGGACGCTAAGATGGCGGCGGCTGGAGGCGGAGGGGATATGGACATTGGAGGACATGGCGGCTCAGAAAATAGTGTTCTTGCTGCGGAAGGCGAGGCGGGAACGGACGAGGAGCCTGACTCGGAGGTGTTTTCGTGCGTGGCTCACTGCTCCGAGCTGGCTTGCCGACAGAACGAGCAACGCCGGTTGGGCCTCTTCTGTGACGTCACGTTGGCCTTCGGCGGCGGGAGCAACAGTGAGGAGGGGGAAGTGGGCGGGGCCTCTCCCCACCCGGACCCGCCTCCCCGGGAGTTCCGCGCGCACCGCTCGGTCCTTGCCGCCGCCACCGAATATTTCGCGCCTCTCCTTTCGGGTGACTTCGCCGAGTCCCGCTCGGGTCGTGTGGAGCTGCGCAAATGGAGCTCCGAAACTGGACCAGACCCGGAAACGGTGGAGGCCGTCATCAGTTTCATGTATACGGGCCGTGTCCGTGTCAGCCCCAGCAACGTCCACGAGGTTCTGGAGCTGGCTGACAGGTGAGGCAAGCGCTTGCAAGAAGGGGAAAGGAAGATCTTGTTGGCGAGGGAAGCAAGAAAGAGCGTGAGGGGTTTAGTGGCCCATTGTGTGGTCAAAGATTGCGCCTCTCACGCGTGAAATAGGATGCAACTCTCTAGCCACCTTTGCGACTGTCATTTCTGGTTGGGGCTGGTGAGAGTTGCCGTCCAGTAACATCTGAAAGGTCACGTGTTCTCCATCTCTGACCTTGGAACATGCTAATAAGTTATACTCCTCCCGTGAACATTATATTAAAACAGTGTAACCTGGAAATGGCTGAAAGAGGAACCATATTCGTTTTTTACAGCAAAAACATACTGTGTTTAAGATACCACAAGTCTCTGTTGCTTCTTAGTCAGATGCTAGCTCAGCTTGAATTCATTGGGACTTTAAAATGGATTTTGATAGAATTGCATTGTAAATGGGGATCATAATTTTTGTTTTAATAATTAATAAGTGAAATACTAAATTGTATTCATTAATTAGTCTATTGTGTGCCATTTAGTTGGAATAGCAAAAAAAAAAGTCCAGACTTGAGTGGGACTTGGCAGTCATAATTTATTCTGCATTCTGAATCCTGGTGTTGATTCACATGAGCATGAAGGAAATCATGTAACTTGCTGCTAATGTATGAGAAGCCAGTTGATGCTAGTCACAACCAGGCATGCAACTGCGATCTTGTTAATAAGCAGCAATTTGCTACCATGTTTTATGTGAGTTTACCTATTCATGCATTAATTGTCAGTTGGATTCTGGCCTGTATTTCAGTCAGTATGCAAAGTATTAATCCAAGTAATAAACATAAAACTGAGTAAAAATCTTCAAATTATTTTGAAGGCTACTATATCTTGTGTATTTATTGATATATCCCCATAGAAAAAAGAAATTCAGTATGTTTATAATTTTCAGATAATTTTGCATTCATAATCATGGTAGTATGCATTGTAATTACATGCTATAACACAACTGTATTTTTGTTAAACCATTATTTTCTGTGCCTCTTCCCACCAAAAATGTCCATGTTTTGATTTGGCGGACCTGTAAATATATACAGTTGAAATGCTGGCTGAGCTACTTAGTATGGTCAAGTGAGGTACTTAAGATGCTTGTTAGCTACAAAACTAAAGTAAAACTTTGCCTAGATTTAGCACTGGCTAATGCCTATGGTGGTGTGCTAATTCATTAAATTTCGAATCATGCCATATGAATATAAATGCTGAAACTATTGTGTTGTACGAAGACTCAGAAAGATATCTTTCATGGTTGTTTCTTTACAAATGGAGTCATACATTTAATTTTAAGAGAGTACATGTTTATGCCAAGTTCTATTTTAATAGAAAACTTTTCTATAGTTCAGAGTTTAAAAAAAGAATGCATAATTTTAAAAGACTGTAGCAGAGAGGCGATTAAACCAGTTAGAAAGTTGGTTCTGGGATTGAGACATGCATGCATTTCACTCAGTTTTGATTCCCCACAGCATGAAAGGTACTACGATTAAACCAGTTAAAAAGTTGGTTCTGGGATTGAAGGGAAAGGTATCCCTCTTCTGTAGACATGCATGCATTTCACTCGGTTTTGATTCCCCACAGCATGAAAGGTACTACAAGGAAGGTAGTGTTGTTCTCATGGCACCTTCCCACTATATAGCTCATGAACCATTTGGATCATGACTTTGTCAGGATTACTGTTCCATGGTGCTGAAAAGGTAGAACATCTTACAATGAGGAACTGAAAATGAGAGTGTCACTTGCTGATATGGGGTATCTTCAGAGTAGAAAGCAAAATATATCTTGTTAGCTATATGATAGAATGTTGTTTCCGGATCTTTCTGTGGGGCATTTCTAAGCTTCCTTCTTGTTTTGCAGGTTTTTATTGATTCGTTTAAAAGAGTTCTGTGGAGAATTCCTCAAGAAGAAACTGAGCCTCTCTAACTCTGTAGCCATTCATAGCTTAGCTCATATGTACTCTTTAAACCAGCTGGCTTTGAAAGTTGCTGACATGATCAGGAGGAACTTTTACAAAGTAATCCAAGATGAGGAATTCTACACTTTGCCATTCCACCTCATCAGAGACTGGCTTTCAGATGCTGAAATCACAGTAGACTCAGAAGAAGTTCTGTTTGAGATGGTCTTAAAGTGGGTTCAGAGGAATCCTGATGAAAGAGAGAAGTACTTTGGGGAGCTATTTAAACTTCTCCGGCTATCTCAGATGAAACCCACTTATTTGACCCGGCATGTCAAATCTGAAAGGCTTGTATTTAGCAATGAAGCATGCCTCGGACTTGTGTCAGAAGCAGTGGAAAGCCATGCTCTCAGGGCTGAGAATTTGCAGTTAGGAACCCTGCAACAGATTACTTGTCCCACAACATCACAGCCTCGTTTTGGGCAAAACATGGATGTGATCATGGTCATTGGTGGTGTGTCTGAGGGAGGTGATTACTTGAGCGAGTGTGTTGGTTATTTTATTGATGAAGATAGGTGGGTGAATTTGCCACACATACATAATCATCTTGATGGACATGCTGTTGTAGTGACAGAATCCTATGTCTATGTAGCAGGTTCTATGGAGCCTGGTTTTGCCAAAACTGTGGAAAGATATAACCCAAATCGAAATGTTTGGGAGCAGGTTTCTAACCTGATAACCAGGAAGCATTCTTTTGGCCTTGCTGAGGTAAAAGGGAAGCTATATAGCATTGGTGGGCATGGAAATTTTATCCCTGGCTTCAAAGATGTAGCAGTCTACCATCCAGATCAAGACAAGTGGCACAACTTGGAGTCGGCACCAAAGATACTCCGGGATGTTAAAGTGATCACTGTAGATGACAGGTTTGTTTACATGGCTGCCCGCACACCTGTTGATGGGGATAATGAAGAAGGCTTAAGGGCTGTCATCATCCGATATGATGCAGATACAGGTCAGTGGCAAGATACTAAAACGTTGCCACTCCCTGATAACTATTGCTGCTTTCAGATGGCTGTGGCAAATACCAATTTTTATCACACTGCCTCTTGTTGTCCCAGAAGCTACACACTCGACCATGAAGAGATGAAAAGGAAACACTCTGGTCAGGTGTCTGATGACATTCTGGAAAGCTTACCCCCAGAGGTGCTTAGCATTGAAGGGGCAGCAGTGTGCTATTACAAAGATGATGTCTTCATCATAGGTGGCTGGAAAAACAGTGATGACACAGACAAACAATACAGGAAAGAAGCCTATCGCTACTGTGCTGAGAGGAAACGCTGGCTGCTACTCCCTCCTATGCCCCAGCCAAGGTGTCGTGCCACGGCTTGCCATGTGAGAATTCCTTTTCGTTCTTTACATGGTACCCAACGATATCCAATGCCACAAAACCTAATGTGGCAGAAAGACCGGATCCGTCAGATGCAGGAGATACACCGTCATTCCTTAAGTTTGCGGAGGTTGCCACGATCTCAGATAGAGTGCTAACCTGAATAAATAGATTTTGAGAAAAGCCTGCGTGTTGACATGCTCAGCATAGTCTCCTAACAATCACTTACATTGCTCTTTTTAGTCACTGGGGGTATTGAAGGAGATCTGGCCTCCTGCGTGTTAAATAGTTTGCCAGGATTGCACGCAGAAGGAGCACTTAAGGTGTACTAGCCATAATGTGAAGGTAGGCTCGCTTACAAAATCTCCAAAGATTTAGTTTCCCCTACAGATGACATGTAAATATAAATGCAGGAATTTGTAGATGTGTCCGGGATGTATGAATATTCAACATAGCCTCTCCCCTCTCTTTCCAGGAGTTTCTGTCAAAGGCTATTTGTTCTAGTTATGTGTATGAGACAATTCTCTATGTATTGGGGCTTCTCGCCCATCTTAAGTCATTTATACTGTCTGTATGAAGTATAAACATACCCCTGTATATAAGGAGTAAAGCACAAACTTTCAGAAAACTTCATAACGTTCCATGCTTACAAATATTTTGTAATTGTATTTATCTAGAAACATGAGTTTACTAAGAGGATATTACTAAGAACGGTTGATTTTAAATTTTCAATCATATTGAAAGTTGAGGATTGCGCTATAATTTACCAGACTGTATCTTTCTACTGTGGAGTAGTCCCACTGTTTTTTTAAAAAATGCATATTGCATTAATGATTCAGGTTTGTGGCCTTAAAAGAATGAATGGAAAGACCAAAAAGATCAACACTTTAAATCCAAATTCATAATATTGAAGGAATTAGGTGTTCCTCAGTATAGAACAAAGGTGAATGATCTCTGAGTATGTATTCAGGCAAGTAATCAGAGTGCAATTAGAGAAACAAAACAGTCAACCTGCCTTTGACAATCAAATCTCTTTGCCTTCATGGTATGCCATTCATTATTTGGACTATGTTTGAGTACTTGAGACTTCAGTTGACTGAAAATGTTGCCTCAGTTTTTGATAGTAAAAATCCTTATTCATCCAATGTCTTAATAGAATTGTGGCAGCAAGTAAAATTTATTATCACCATAATTTTTTGGGAGATTCTTTGCTGCTTTTCTCTCTTAAGACAGTAAGATTCTGCTTTCTAGAGTGGTGATTATTTGATAGTCCATGTTCAGAAAAATTATATTTTTATTGGACCAATTTAGCGATATGTTTAAGCTTTGGAAAATCATAGAATTCTTTGGTCTCAGTGCATGGTAGAGGATTTATCAATTCATTTACACTAAGTTTGTCCAACAAAATGTTACATTTTACTTTCATCAGTTGTTACCTTTTGACCTGAACATAGACCACCTGTACTGATGCATTACTTGGTTCTCCAAAGAAGATTTCTCTCTGCCTGCTCACTCTCCTGGTGCCCCAATACATCTTAGTAGTTTTGATCCTACTTTTAATTTTCACTGTGTTAAATTGCACCAGAGCAATTGCCCACGTAAGCTAATTTGTTTCATCTCATAAAAGCTTTTGGAGGCATTTGTGTTCCTCTCCCACCCCGTGTCCTCTGGTCTAGTCAGAGTTGCTCAAGGAGTGGCAAGGGCAGTAATGACACCGGGAGGTTCTCAAGTGAGATCAAAACCTCACCATTGTAGCCACAGGGTTCTTGTGGAATGCCTGGAATAACACCCACACCCAATCTAAAAGTAGCTTTCTACAAAGAATGGATCCTGTTATTCTTGGAAGCCTTTCACGGCCGAGATCTGATGGTTGTTACAGTTTTTTGGGGCTTTTTGGCCGTGTTCTGGAGGTTTTTCTTCTTAACGTTTCGATGCTGGCCACAGAGACTGCCAAAACGTTAGGAAGAAAAACCTCCAGAACATGGGCCAAACAACCCAAAAAAAACTGCAACAACCAATGGCTTCTGTTCCTCCTTTTTCTAATAGGTTTCTCCCTCATTTAAGTAGCCTTGGCTTGTATTTGGAAACACTAATATGGAATGAAGAGAAAAAAATCAGAGTATGAGAAATCTGTTGGCCAAGATGTTTAGAACAGCAAATAGTATCTTAAATTTTGGAAAGCAAACCACTTATTTTTTTAAAAAAATAATAATAATTTTAAGGATTGACCATTCTTGTTTTCCAATTTAGCAAGAAGCCCTAATTCTTGTCTGAAACATTGGGGTAAGTTTTTAATCTGCATGGATGTGCGCAGGTTTTCTTGATTTGCATTTGTCCTGCTAATATTTACCTTTTGTAGTGTAAATGTTGGATCAGAAATGTGTGTACATTAAATTAATGTCTTCCTCATATTCATACTAATACAGCCTTGTCAGGCAAAGTAAACCAAAAACTTAACAACACAAGAATGTCCACTTGCCTGCTTTCAGGATATATTGTACATACCAGCCAGCTATTTATGGAAAAGGTAGATGGTTCAATAGGCTTACTGTTAATCTGTTGAAAATCCTGTTAAAATAACTTAAAGCAGGCATTCCAAAGCTGCAGGGCTCATAACAGACCTACTGATACTATTACGGTAGTAGAGGTAGAGGGGCCGTAACCTTCTCATATTATTAGCAGAAGTGCTGATTAAGAGAAATGTCTAAGAATATTCCTTACGGTCAGTTATGGACATATCTATGCAGAAAACCTAATTGTTTTAAATAGGGATGGTAGTTTTTCTGAAACCAGAATTTCTCTGTGAGAGCACTCTCAGCATTAAAATTGAGTCCTCTTGGAAAAAAGGAAAAGAGATGACAGAGCAGTGTACGTTTGTTGTGTACACATGGCTATATGTATTCTTATAACTGAAATTCAGTGGCGGTTTTGAAATTTCACAAAAGATGTATTTGGCCCGTAGTGCAAAATGTTTGATAGTCTCCACAAATAAATTAATAGATTAACTGTTCATCAATGTTAATCAGTGTTTCTGTACAACTATTCCATCTGGCTGGTAGGCTTTGCTTTTTTAAATTAAACTGTATGTCACCTTGATGTTGCTTGTGAATGCCAGTCACTTACAGTATATAGGTGTCTACCTGCCTGGCTTGATTTCAGTGTGCATGGAGAATTAAAAGCACCCTAGAGAGCAGTCCTGTTGTATCGTGTAGTGTCAAAAGTCAATATTGATTAATGTCAAGTCTGGATGTTAGGCTACTAACCTGCTCTGCTATTCTGAGTGCCTCTTAGCTCCAGGATAGCACAGCTCTTGTGCTGCATGCAACAGTCTTGTCTCTACTTAGTCATGCGAGTCCTTGTCAGATTGAAGTAGTTGCCTAAATCTTCAGATGGACCATCCAGACTATACCTCTCTCATGGGGAAGCTTGATACTCCTAAGATAACATTCCTAAATGTGACTGAGACACTGTTTTGCTGAAATCAGCAGGACCTCTATCTCAGTAAATGTGATTTGGAACAGTCATTAACTGGAATCCTGTTTCTAACAACAAGAAAGGCTTCCAGCAAATTGTAATTGAAGAGGTTCTAGGACAGGCAAGTATGCCTATTGCCAAGAAATTGGAGACATTCACCTGTCTTTTAAGCTGTACTGATTCTCCACTGTGATAGGATGCATTCCTTTTACAGTACCAGTGGAGTAGGGTAGATCTTTTGGTTGTGCCTGAGCTGACATTATTACTGAACTAATATTGTTTGTAGGTTGCACACACATATGCCCATATATTTTTTCTAATTACTAATTCAAACTTTTGTCTCTGTATGTGCCATTGAGACTCGCCTTCATATGACGAAGGTAACAAGACACCAATATAAGTTTGTTCAAATAATATCTACAGTGTTGACTACACATGATACATTGACAGTTGCTGTAAACTTTACAACAATAGGCTATATTTAGCAGGCAGCATAAACAATACCACTGCCATCAATATCTGTCATCTTGCACAAGCATAACTAATGCCACTTGCCAGCTTGCCTTTGCTCCCTCATTGCAGTGTCGCCATTTAGAAAACAATAGCGTTTTCTCTCAGTGCTTCTGTCCTTGTCCTGTCCCCTGAGGAACCATAGCAGGACCCTGCTTGCCTCCACCCAGGTCTATGATATGAGGGCTTTAGGGAGAGGCAGGATCTTGCTGCACTTATCCAGAACCATTGAAGGTGGCCAGAAGCAGCTGAGAAAGTGTTTGCTGAAAAAAAGGGAAGTTTTTTTTATTTACAAAGGACAGACACAGCTGATATTGCTCCTAGTTTTTCTGTCCTCCTGCAAGGCTTTCTAGAAATCAGAATAAGCGTTCCCACTTTCTTTGAATTCCCTTACAAACATGGATTTCTTGTGAACAGTGCACTCCTATGTAAGGTTTTTACAGGATAGAAGGAACAGAAAAAGCTACTCTTGCCTTTGTTTTTCAAGTGACTATTTTGACTTGCAGAAAGTTTTGGACAAGGTCAGAAGCCATTTGTTTCCTTTATAATATTTTTTTCTCCTGCAATTCAGAACAGCCTTTCTATTTCTTTTGTGTCTTCTAACAATCTTGGAGGGCTTAGAAAGGTTTTCTTCTGTGGTAAAAGTACAGTTAAGAGCAGTTACCTGTGTTAGAGATCTGGCTGATAAGTCAAGCTGATTGATACTTGCCACACCCTGATTTTGCAATAATTGTGGACCAAACTGAAATGACAGTATGTACTCTTTCTGCTGCTTCCCTGATTCGGAGACACTCGCCTCAAAGCCATGTTAGTTCCCTGGCAGTTCTGAGTTCCAGTAAGATGATATAAACATGTATCTAAGTCACTGGGTAGTCCAAGGATTCCTTATAGACCTGTAAGGCAGTACATGACTTTTTCTTTCTCTGCTTCAACCCTAATTTGCCTTGTGTTTGCTGCTCTGTAAATGGGAGCAACATAGTCCTCATGGATTTGAAATGCAGATTTCCTGCCTTTAGGTAGAATTGTCTTGAAGAGTATGTCCCTAAAATCTATTTTAAAGATTTGCTGTTCCATATATGCTGTACTAAAGTTCTGTAACACTAAATGTGATTTCAATAAACATTTTATTTCTCTATTTTCTTTTGTTTGCTTCATATTATTTATGAAAATTATGAATTCATTCCAGCACCTTGATCTCAATTAGAATTCACACTTTAGATCCATTTTGTCTTCAGTTCTCAGATGCAGTCAGGGCATTATTTTATATTTATTCAGTTGTTTCCTCATGTTAAGTTATAGCTCAGGGTTGTTACTTTCAACTTAAAGCAATCTTAACAGGGCTTTCAAGGTAAGTGAGATATTTAAGCAGTGTTCTTATGCTTTGACTCCCCCAGTGAGTTTCCATAGCCGAGTGGGGATTTGAACCTTGGTCTCCAGAGTTCTACACTATCCACTACATCACACTGGGTATCTCATCCCAGGATTACTTATCTGAAAAGAAGAACGAATTTAAATGAATGTATAATTAAAACTTAGAGTTATGCACTTATAGGCAGAAACTAGCAATCTTCATAGTTCATGTGTATTGTTTATTGGCATAAAACATTTTAACATCCTCTTTTGCTGGGGTGTAGAGTGAAGTGGTGGGGCTCCCTAAGACTTTACAAGCTGAGGACCATAGGTTGCTTGTGAGTTGCTTACCTTTGTATTGATTCTTTACAGAATATAATCATTGCTTCACTTTACATACCCTATATGAAAAATAAGAAGCAAATTCTAAATATCTTGCGAGTATAAGATGCCTTGGATACAATTTCACATTGGAGAAGCTGGCTTTTAGTATATAAATCAGAGCTATCGAAGGAGGTACCACAAATAGTCAGTGGTGCTGAGGTGCACCTGTGATCTCAGGAGGATGTAGGTCCAGCAAAAGCAGTATTAGACACAAGGAGGCAGTGTCCAAGTCCAATCAATATTCCTGTAAATGTATGAAGGAGAGAGAAAAAGGAGAGTGAGAACAGAGTGAGCTGTCCTTGCGAATAGAAACGCTGGAGCGTGAGAGAGAAATAAGATAGGGAGAAGTAAGTGAACGGAAAGAAGTGATGGTAGAAGAAAAAGGAGGGATAGAATTGAGAGAAGGAAAGATTGAAGTCTGTTTAGTAGAGGAGGGAGAAGGAGGAAAAGGGGAAGAGTTAAGTGTATCAATGTGGGAGGAAGATATAAAAGATCAAGGAGGGAAGAAGGTTTTTAGTATACCAGAAGGGGAGATAATAAGAATGAAGGAGGAGGATAGAGAGGGGAGACAAGATGAGTCTACCTATGAGAAAACCCGCGGGTTATTGAAAGACTTCCCCAACTTGAAAGTGGGTGGATTGCTGCCTGATCCAGAATTGAGGAAGGAGGGAGAATCTGTGATTGAAGTCTTAGAATGGACAGTAGTAGTTTTTACCGGAAAAGAAGGACGTGGAAAGAAGGTGATCAGACCAGACCAGACATACAATCAACCACTGAAGGAAGGAGACTGGGCTCGACATCCGTGCTGTGAGACAATATGTGCGGTGAGGAGTGCCCCACTGAGGAACCCTACAGACTGGGAGCAGTTTGGTCCAGCCCCCCCCAGTGAGTTTTCCACATCTACAAACGGAATTCACGTCATCAAGTTATATATATAAAATAACATAACAAATGTTAATGTAAATAAAGTTGATGTTTCAGAAAAGCCTCAGTCATCATTTCCCGTCAAAAAGGAGGAACTGCTCCAAGTTTTAAACAAACCCAGTCACAAAATGATTTGATTCATCTTTATAGAACATGAAATGGCCTTCATCTGGAAATCACAGATGACCAGTATCTACATAGTAGATTAAAAATATTTGTTAACACAGTACATAGAGCAGCAGAAGACAAAATATTTTATTGTTCCCTGAAACTTACACAAATAATGTTTCAAACCACCATCTGAAAGATGAACATTTGTGAGGCAATTAGCTTTCTAATGGAACGGAATTCTGTAATGCAGGGTTCCCCAACCTTTCTAACCCCGCGAACCGACTGAGGAAGGTGGGGCACCCCCCCATGCTCGTGCTCATGAGTGCTCGTCCGAAGGAGCGAGAAGGTGCTCATGCAGGTGCTTATGCACATGTGTAAATGGCAGCGCAGCGCTCGTGTGGGCGCTCGCACATGCACATGCACAAACAGTGGTGTGCTCGGGGCGGGCGATCATGCACATGCGCAATGGGTGGGGAAGAGCTTGTGCAGGCGCTGGCACGTGCAGGTGCAAAGCAGCTGTGCAGGGTGAGTGCGTGCAGAGGGGGGTGGGAGGTCTGTCTCTGCAGTCCAGTCCAGCTCAGGCCACGGACTGGCACTGGGCTGCGGACCGGGGGTTAGGGACCTCTGCTGTAATGGTTTCCACATCCAAGAAACCCCTGCCTTGTGTTGTAAGCCTGTGAGATGTGCAATTCAGGGCCTGCATATGCAGCTTCCTTAAATGATCCTGGATCCTCATAGCTCTGTTAACATCCAGACAAAGGCCCATTCAGTGCCATCTTCAGCCTTTGGATTTAATGGGAAACACTGAAAGAGAATGTCCTGCAATAGTTCAAAGCAGCGACATATCCTACCTCTTTTCTGGTGCGACCTGCTCCGAACTTAATGAATCCTCCTAAAGGAAAGAAGGACCTTGTTAACTCATTGAGAAAGACTAAAGTCTAGTCCACGTGAGCAGTGGAAGAGACTATGCCTTTTTAGGTGGGGAAATTCTATTTTTAACATTTTCTTAAATGAAGGTGAAGAAATCATCAGTCACCAACGATTTTCAACCAGCTTTCTTTCTGCTTTGTGAAGAAATATTGCTTCTTTTACTGCATTCTCATTGTGGCCAGTTGCCTCTGTAGGGCAAACTCAAATGTTTTTGTGCACTTGTTGGTTGATCCTTACGTTTTCTCTGCACAACTTAATTACTCAAAAAAAAATAGTTGTGAAGGGGAAGTACCATGTCGTGGGGTTGGAAACTATGACCTCCAGTATGTTAGTTTCCATAAGGATACATCTTTTCAAATAAATGAAGTACATGTCTCTTCAACAATGCTGAGGTTTATTCTCTCTCTCTCTCTCTCTCTCTCTCTCTCTCTCACACACACACACACACACACACACGTATATCTAAGGTTAACCCAACACGTGCCTCCCTCTGGCATGAGGCATAGCAGCAAAGGTGTTAATCAAGAACAACTACTGAAAGCCAGCCAACTTATTTTAATGCATGGGGTAGGAAACCCCACAAGTGTATGTCTCTCCCCTCTCTCCAAACAATAAAAAACAATAGCAATAAATCAAGTACAGTGGAATTTACTGGCCTCTGGTAACATTCTGTGACAAGATGCAATGGCTTCGCTGCCCAATGATAAATGCAGTCTTGATCACCCCTCAATGCTAATTTTCTAAACTGGTGTTACAGAGTCTCTACAGAGAGCAATACCTGAGCCAGGGCTTGCCAAGATATTTTATTACCATTGGCAGAGGACGAAATCTTGCTTCTATGAGGGGGTGTTGATAAGTATTGAGCCTGGAAATCTTGCTTCTATGAGGGGGTGCTGATAAGTATTGAGCCTTTCCCAGAAAAAAATTGAGCTAGGAAGCTATAAATTGAAGGGTGTAAATTGCAGGCCCAATTTGTCTGTATTCAATGGTGCACAAATCAACTACCTATGATTTTAACTTATCTTTCATGTTCAGGTCCAAAGTGAACAGGGCAGCACCTCCAGAAAAGTTCAATGTGGAAGAGCATAGGACCATAATCAAGTTCCTGTTTCTCCAAGGGAAAGGTGCAAAGCAGATCCATGATGAAATGTCACAAACTATGGGTGATAGTGGCCCTTCATATGCAACAGTTAACCATTGGGTTGTCAATTTTAAAACTGGCCATTTTGGTGTTGAAAGTGAGAAACCCAGTGGAAGGCCTGTTTCTGTCTCTGTGCCTGCAAATGTGAAAGCCATCCATGATATGATCACGGAGAACTGCCAAATATCAGCCAAAAGTATTGCTATATAGTAGTATCTGAGAATATCACATGAGAGAGTTGGTGCCATTATCCATAACGACTTGGAAACGAGAAAGCTGGCAGCAAAGTGGATCTCCAAACTTTTGACAACCGAACAAAAGAGGAAACATGTAGAATTATCGGTGTCTGTTTTGCAATATTTTGCAAGAAATGAGTCAGATTTCTTGGGCAAACTGGTAACTGGTGAAGAGACATGGATTTACTGTTGTGATCCTGAGACAAAGGAACAGTCTAAGGAATGGAGGCACCGTGGTTCCGCCAGGCCAAAGATGTTCCGAGTGCAAAGGTCGGTACTTAAGAAGCTGCAGGACAGATGTCAGGATAAGAAGGGAATTCTGCCAGTGGACTACCTCCAACAGGGTTCAACCATCAATGCAAAATATTACTGTGCTTTATTGACGAAGTTGAGGCAAAACATCAAGGAAAAACATCGAGGAAAGCTCTCCAAAGGTGTCATCCTGTTGCATGACAACGCCACGTCACACACTGCAGGTGAAACATTGGCAAAACTGATGTCCTTAGGCTCTCCTTAGGCCATCCACTCTATTGTCCCAACCTGGCTCCTTCTATTATCTGTTCCCCAAACTCAAAAAAACACCTAAAGGGACAACGATTTGGGAGTGTTCTGGAGGCAACTAATGCTGCAAATGAGTGGTTAAGTCGGCAGTCGGAAGAATTTTATTTGCAGGGACTTAAGAAGCTGCAGGACAGATGTCCCAAGTGCACTGACTTCCTGGGGGCATATGTAGAATAGTGTGGCAGTTACAGCTTCCTAGCTCAATTTTTTTCTGGGAAAGGCTCAGTACTTATCAGCACCCCCTCATACGCATGGTGCCCAAGCCAGTTTAAGTTTGGCACAGGAGGCAGAATGCCCACATGAAGGGCTCTCTCTCCCTGGGTGTAAAAATACAGTAATAACAAAGTAAGTAACTGAACAAGAAATCTGTTGCTCTGTCATGAACCCTGAAATTTGCTGCCTGAAGCAACTTGGGGACCGTGGGGAAGTTATGAATACTGTACAGGGATTGTTTTCTATCAGCCATTTCCAGCAGATTTAGCGGTGGCATATTCCTTGGTCTCAATGAGGAGGAAACGAGCAAGTACGTAACAATAAAGGCTTCTTTCTCTCCCACTTGAACAGCTTTACTTTCTCTCCCACTTGCTTACACTCCTGACCTGCTGTTTAAAGGCTATTTTTGTAACTCATTTTAAAGAATCATATCTGACCCAGACATCTGCCACGACTTTTGGACCTTCCGTATGTTTTTTTTCCGGCACCATCTGCAATACGTTGATGCACAGCTTGATGAAGACTACTAGTACAGGTCGAAAGTTAGCAGCTTTATTATTTTTATTTATTTTTCAGTGGTCTAATAAAGGGCATCACCTGCCCTTGCTTTTGTCGTTTCTAAGGCTTTGTTTGTTTTTCTTTTGCTTCCCGGGTCTTCGTGAACTCTCGGTCTCTTCGGCGGTATATAATTTAAATAAATAAAAGGAGCAGCAGCAGCAAGCAGCACAAGGCGATCTCCTCTGGTCTAGAAATCGAGGCATCGCCGCCTAGAGGGCGAGAAACGGCTTCTTATCAGCGGCAAGCAGACCCCGAGCTCCACCACAGACGAATGGAAGGTGATCCGGGGTGACTTCCTCCCGAGTAAACGCGAGGAAAAAAACGTCGCAAGGGCTCCCGGCCCCGAATAACCCGGTTCGGGAGAGGCCTCCCGGCGGCGCTGGCGAAGGAGGAGGGAGGGGCCTCCGAAGGCCGGCCCAGGCAGGGGAAGCCGCCTCCCTTGCCCAGTTCCTCCTTCTACTTTGCCCGTTCCCGGCTTCAGGCCGCCAAAGATTGTCCGCTGCGGGGGCGGGTGGAAAGCGAAGCGAGATCATGGTGAGTTGGAAGTGTGTGTGTGTGTGGGGGGGGGCGGAGGCGCTGGCCTTGCAGAGCAGCATGGCGGGAGAGGAAGGGGGATCGAGTCCCCCACCCACCCGCACCCCTTGAACCCCCGATCGAAAGGCATCTGATGATTTCTGCCCCGTGGGTTCTTAGCGGCATTAATGCTGTTGTATAATGGGGGGGGGGGAGGGGAACTGCCGGCAGCAAACGGGGCAGCCTAACACCTCGTAGCCCGCGGTCTCCTCAGTGGAGGAGGGTCGAAGAGAGCTGTGGTGACTCTTCTCGACGGCAAAGTGCGGGGTGAGGAGAGGAATGTACAGTACTGGGGGAATCGTCCCTCAGGGCCAGCCAGGGCTGCTGGGACGGGGGGCGGGTGGTTTCAGAAGGGGAGACCGTTGGCATGATGAGACTCTGATCCGCCTTTGAGGTAGCCCGCGGTCTCCTCAGTGGAGGAGGGTCGAAGAGAGCTGTGGTGACTCTTCTCGACGGCAAAGTGCGGGGTGAGGAGAGGAATGTACAGTACTGGGGGAATCGTCCCTCAGGGCCAGCCAGGGCTGCTGGGACGGGGGGCGGGTGGTTTCAGAAGGGGAGACCGTTGGCATGATGAGACTCTGATCCGCCTTTGAGGTGGTGCTGTAGTTGGAGGTCCACACAGCGTTGGACTTTACTTCTATGTCTCACCCACCCACCCACTTCGACAGGTGGGAGCCGGTGGACACCCCGCCTCACACAAAGCAGAAAGCCTGGCTTGCCAATGCTTTGAAATAAGGCACAACAAAAAGACTCCTGGCAACTTAAAACAATAATTGTATGGCATCAGGTCATTTCTGACTTATGGTGACTCTTTTCATGGTTTTCTGGGTACAGGATACTCAGAAGTGGTTTGCCATTCCCTTCTTCTGGGGGCGCCCTGGGATTGTGCGGCTTGCCCAAGGCCACACAGGCGGGCTCTTCTCCCTGGAGGCACAGTGGGGAATTGAACTCCCAGCCTCTGGCTCCACAGCGAAGAACTGTCCAGCCAGCAGCACCTTAAAAGGGCACTGAATTTATTATTTCATAAGCATTCATGGACTGTAACCCATTTTGTTAAAAGCGTCTGCTGTGCCATATTTGTTATTCTTGTTGTTGCTCCTGCTGCAACCTACCTAACAGAGCTGCCTCTCTGGAAATTGAAGTAATACACATTTCTGTTTAAATTGGGTGTGTATGAAATTATTTTAATTTAAAAAATGCACACTATGGTTTAAAGGGCAGCATCTCCCCTGGAAATCCGCTAAAACCAGAGAGTGGGGATCAGCATGAAAACATTTAATCCAGAGTCTCAGTTTACCAAAGATAAGCACTGTACAGGGTGAACTTCTCAGAGGAAGTGAAAAGGATGGTCCTTATGTGAAGCAAGGTGAATCCTAGAAAGAAAGGTTGGCCGGGAGAACAGCTGTTTGGGGTATTAGTTTACAATACTTCCTTTTGAAATGCACAATAGGTAAATTGAAAGCACTGGAAAAACCTGGCAGGTAGAGCATTAGGAACTGGGTGGATAACTCAATGAGTTAGATATCTGCCTATGGAGGTAGAGGTTGGGAGTTTGATTCCCTGCCAGGGTAGCTCAGGGAATAGCCAGTCTGTAGCCAGAGCATCTTCAGAAAAAGGAAATGGCAAATGACTTCCGAGTACTCTATACCTAGAAAATCCTGGAAAGAGTCATCATAAGTGAGATTGACGATGGGATGTGATTATGATTAGAGTGCTCCAATTGAGGGAGGAGCTGTAGGAACAAAGGGGGCAGTGGTGGAAGGGAGAGTTTTAATATTAAGAAAGTGCTTACATAGCACTTTCTAGTCTTAAAAACATTTTTCATATATTTTTATCATAATATAGTCCTCAAAATAACTCCCAACCTCTGGCTCTGCAGCCGGAGAAAACATTTTTCATATATTTTTATCATAGTATAGTCCTCAAAATAACTCCCATCCTCTGACTCTGCAGCCGGATACCTAACCAGTGAGCTATCCAGGGATTAATATAATCCCCACATGTTCTGTTGTTGTTGTTTTTTGGGTGGTGGTGGATATAAACAGAGAGCAATTTGTATAAATTTATTACAAAGACAAATTCACCCCAGTAGTGGCTTAATTTGTTATTCTGGCGTTGCTATCAGGGCTAGATAAAACCGTTCATTCCCAAACTGAGGGCCATGAAAAAAATGGGTTGTGAGATTCCAGTTTTCATAAAGAAAGCATCTTTTATCAGCTTAAAGTTATGTGATAGGTTTCATTACAAGAATTTAGCAATTTCTTATGACGAACTCTTTCTGCTTTTCTTTAATTTAAAATAAAAGTTTTTCATTAGTTTTTAAAGTATCAACTTAAATTTTCATTAAAAGGACAAGTGGAGAGAGATGGAGGTTTCTCAAAAGCAAAAAACAATTGTGCTGCAAAAAACCTTGAGAACTGCAGTCATAGACTTTTTTAAAATAATGTTATTGTTAATAATTGAATTATACTTAAAATAACAAATGGTCAACAATATGCTGAATAAATTTCATAGGGAGTCTGATCACTGCCCTTAGCTATGTCAAATTTAAGACCATAGCATTATGAGAAAATAAGTTTGCCAGGATGATTCAGTTTTCTCAGCTGTTTTTGCTCCCTTTATCTACTGTTTTAACCTGTTCTTTCTTTTATTTTCCTTAATTTTGTTTTTTATTATTATTTGTTTTTATGTTGTATTTATGAATCAATATAATTTGCTACCTTATGTCATTATCGCAAAAAAAGCAGGATAAATGTAGATAATACCCATTACAAAAAAATACGACAGAGAATAGTATATTATTATGTCTCTTTCCAGGTACCTGAGCTAGAGAAGGGAACCGTCCGGATGAAAAATCCTGAGCAAGTGAAAAAGATAATTTCATTGCTCAGAAAAGGTGGAGCAGGAAGACTTCAGGTGTGTGTTTCCCTATTGTGTCCTCTTCTTTTCAAAGGGTCCTGTCTGTTTATACAAGCAGGCTGCATGAAGTGTGGTCAGAACCAATACTTTCCTGGAGGGAGAACTCTTGAGCTAAATGTTTATGTCCCTGCCCGGCTTTTGTGTTGTTTATGTCAAGGGCAAATTCTGGCCTTCCAGATACTGCTGGATTGCAGTTGCCATCTGTCCTTGCTGATGCTGTCACTACTTGGCAGAGGCCAGGAGTTGTCATTCAAAAATTCTTGGAGGACCACAAGCTGCCCATCTTTGTTTTATTTGCCAGTTCAAGTGCCCATGAAAAGATGGGAAAGTTAGAGATCTGCAGCATGGATTAGTTTAAAAATAATCACTCATAATATTCAGGTATGGAAAGTTAACTAAGAACCTTAACTCTGGGTTAAGAGAGACTTAAGCCAGTGTTTCTTATGCAGATGTGGCATTTGGAAAGCTCTGTTTTATATGAAATTCAAAGGTTTTCAGAACTGTTGCCTTCCTGCCCTCCTCAGTTTTCTGCTGGTGTCTGTCTAGGCTACACCAAAGTAGCAGCTTAGAAGGAGAACGTTGCCAAATCGAAAGGTTTTCACTTTAGAACTGGATTACGGATTGTTGTGTAGATCTAGATTCTGTAAAAATGATAATAGAGTTAGTGATTGTTGTGGCAAACAACAATGTCTCCATGCCAAAGAATAATTTTCCATTTCCAAGCAACAATTTTCCATTCCGTCTTTCTTATTGGAGAAAATCTTAACACAGACTTTGACTTCTTTCTTAAAATTGCCCAGACTTAACGGAAATGTTTGTTTGCTTATTTAACCTTGTGTCAAATGTCATTCCCTTTAGTTTACACAACCTAAATTATTGAATTTACTATCCAGAATCATTTTGAAATTTTACTTTGGAATGTGTGAAATCACAGACGTCATGGTTGCAAATTGCAGCTAATGAATGATGTGTGCTCAGGATAGCATACTGAGGCTTATCTAATCTTCTCTATAGAACCGCCACCTTGTGAGGCAAGTTGGGATGAGAAACACTGGCAGAGAGCAGCTTCTTATCCAAATATTATCTTAACGAGGTATTAGGCAACTAGTAAGGAGATGAGAGGAGTGTTTGACATCTGAGGGAGGCAAGGAAGGACCAGGCAGAATAAGTACAGTGGACCCTCGACTTACAGACAGCTCAACTTACAGACCTTTCGAGTTACAGACTTCTCTGGCCGCAAAATTTAGGTTCGACTTGCAGCCTGAGAATCGACCTATAGACCGGAAAAACCCCAAAATTGAACAAAAATGGCCGGTTACGGATTAATCAGTTTTCAATGCATTGTAGGTCAATGGAGTCTTGACCTACAGACTTTTCGACCTGCAGCCACCATTCCAGTACGGATTAATTCCATAAATTGAGGGTCCACTGTAGAGAGATCTAACAGACATACAGTATGTGAGTGATCAGAAGCTACATTGGCATTCCAGGGTGAAACTTCAAGGAGGCTTGTATAAACTGCCTGCCGTATCCTGGCCATTGTTGTCAGAATTCACTCTGCTCCAGCATTGTACTTTGAATGGCTATTAAATGGAACGGGCCATTACAGAGCAATGCTATATAGGGCAAAGACTCTTTCCAGTCACCTTTAAGTTGAGAATGTAACCAAATGCAGACCCCAAGGTACAAACAGAATGGCAGACATTGTTTGGCTCTAGGCAGATTACGTAGGAGGAAGCATTAAGTAATAACTTTGGAACCCCTTTTCATAAATGGCTTGGTCTCTTGATTATTAAATGGTGTCTCAGCAGTAAATAGGAAACTGTCTGGTCTGTTTTTCATTTCCCCTCCAGGTAATTTCTGATTTTGACATGACTCTGACTCGGTTTGGGTTCAATGGACAACGTTGCCCCACTTCACACAGTGAGTGCAGTTTCTGCCCTTTCTTCTTTGCCGGCCTCTGGCTTTGTCTCCTCTTCCTGCTCTCTCCTTGCTGTCCTGCCTTCAGTTCCCTTGCCAACCTTCTCATATCTTTGCCCTCATTAATCACCTACAAAGGAACTGTGGATTGTCTCTGTTACTTTTTCCCATCTTAGGTGTCTCTTAATTTATTTTTTTTCCCTGGGAATTCTCTCATTCTCTAACAGATATTTTCATCTGTTGTTATAGGACCTTGTATTATACAGTGGTACCTCACTAAATGATGACCCCGCTAAACGACGAATCCGCATAACGATGACTTTTTGTGATCGCTGTAGCAATTTACAAAACAGTCATTCCTATGGGGGATTTTTGCTGGACATCGATTAGGTCCGTGCTTCGCGAACCGTTTGTTCGCAAGATGACGATTTTTTCGGCTTTGCAAAATGGGCGCCCTGTGTTTTCCGGACCCGTGCTTCGCAGGGCAGCCATTTTTACAGCTGATCGGCGCTCGCAAAATGGTTTCTCTATGGGCAATTTTCACAGGACGATGAGGTATTTTCCCCATTGGAATGCATTAAACCGGGTTTCAATGCATTCCAATGGGGAAAGGGTGTTTTCGCATGACAATTTGGCTAAACAGCGATTTTCACGGGACGGATTATCGTCGTCATGCAGGGCACCACTGTAGTTACAAGCTGGAACTATGAGTTATAAGTTCTCTGATGAGTAGTGGGTGGAAGGCGTAGTTTCACAGAGTTAAAGTGATCTTGCTTATAGGCATTAGGGAACAGACATAATCAAAGTGGTGTGTAGTTCATATAGCAATGTGAAGCAAAGTTGATATCTTTGAACTGTATAATTTAAGAATGTGGATAGTTCTTCATATAATTATAGTTCTACTTCTGTTATTTGTGGAGAAGGGTACAAACCTAACCCAATAAAGATCCACTATCTAGATAAATATTGACCAGACCTTCCAATCCTGTTTGAGACTCAGACCGTGCCCATTTTGTGATTATTTGCAAAGCCTCAAGGGCCAGAGACTTGTCTTTTCAATACATGTATATCAACACAGATTTACAGGATGCAAAATTCTGTGTCTAATACATGGTTCCTTCCATATATGTAATTGCAAAACATACAAAGAGCAGGGCTTCCATCAAGTTACAATCCATGGTTTACATCTGGAAACCCAGAACAAACTTGTAAAGCAGAGGACATAAAAGGAAGCCTGAATTGGAAATGGATGCATGTGGAAATTCCTTAAAAAATAAATAAATAACATGTTTATATTTGTTTCCTTTCAGATATCATAGATAACAGTCGAGTTATCAGTGAAGAAGGCAGAAAAAAGGTATGAGTTTCCATATCTTGACATGTGCTTGTATTACATTTGAAACTTACTGTCAAGTTCTTTTTCACTCTGGCGTTCAGAGCCCTCGGAGTTATAGTCAGTCAGGGGACTCGGGTCTCTCAGGCAGAGAACTTTCCATAACTCTGATGAATGAATGTATCAGTTTCCTTAAAAATTGGGAAAACTATATTAAAATAATATAAATGCAAGACCAGATAATACCTTTATTAGACTACTAAAAAAATTTGAACAAACAGCTAGCTTTCAGTGGTGATCTGTCTTCTTCAAGCTCTGCACCAAAACTTTGTGGATAATTCATAAGAAATATATACGAGCGTCCCAAAAATATATGGCAAATGTGCCAGATCTGATTAAAGTCGAATTCAAACACTGACTGCAAATGACTTTTCAGGGTGTGGGTGTGTAGTTTCAAACTCCACCCCAGGTTGCATTTGGTTGGAATTTTCCTCCCAGCTCTTCAAACAGAGAACCACAAATAATCTGATGGCCCTCTCCTGCCTGTTGCCTTCTTTTGAAATGGATGGTCACTGTTTGGCTGCGGATTGGGGAAAAAGCAAGATAGAAACATGTCAGTCTCCATAAGAAAATTGGGTTTAAAATTTGGTCTACCCACCAGGAGAAGTCAGTTGAAGCCAAATTAAATCCAAATTAATTGTGGTACCTGATGGGTTGTAAGCAGGATAGATTAAAATTGATGATTTTTAAAAAATTTAAAATATTGTTTTATTTCATTCAGCTTTTTAAAATTTAAATTGGATTTTTAAATTTAAATCAAATTTATTTTAATGGAAGGCTTTTGGAGGAAAAATCTATCTAAAGGTAGTTTTCTTTCTAAGATACATTATAATTCAAAGGTTATTTGGCATGAAATAGTTAATGTAGCATGAAGCTGGATATTCATGCAATATTTACATTTTTGGTAAACTAATTCAATTAATCCAAGTTATCCAAGCTAACATGCACTTTTTCACAGTAAAAATGGCATAAAATGAACAAAGTTCAGAAAAAAAGTTAATCCCATTGTTCTGCAAATCTATGTACTGTACAAACAACGAACACACTGATGTTTAAGCGAATGCAAGAATATGTATACTATATAATATTATTATTGTAGTTAAATAAAACATGTTAAACTAAAATCTGTTCTGATATAGCTGTTTTACTAATCTGTCAGGTTATCATTCTAGATATGAAATCTCCATCTGCAAATATTTAAAAATATAGAATGAGTCTTTACATTTAAAAATCATGATTGAAATAGACTTGATTTAAATCTACCCTGGTTGTAAGCAGGTGTTTCCTTCAGTTTGTAGTCCTGCTTGGTTGATGCGCTACAGCTGGGGCCATGGGTGGCCATTGATGGTATCTTTCGTAGTTCAGAAAATATTATAAAAATGCCACATGGTCCTTAAAATAATACAAATGCAAGAATATGAGGGGGGGGGGGAAATCAAACCAAAAACTTTCAATAGGAATCCATCTTCCTCAGGTTTTGCACCAAGATTTTGTGATTTTTTTCAGAAAAAATATATATGAGATTCCCAAAAATTTAGGGCAGATGTCTGTGCCAGGCCTGCTACATAAGGACATCTTTTGCTGTCTTATGATTTACCATGTAATTCTTAGGAATTGTTGCTATCACTTGTAGGGGATCCGTTCAGCAAGCACAGGGTTGCCACTTTCTGGAAAGTCAGGGAAATGGAAATTACTCAGGGAAATTGGTCGGAAGTCAGAGAAATTGTGATTAAAATATACTGTATTCAAGGGACAGATTTTTGACCTGCTGCTGCAAGAGCATGATCTGTTCTTGTGGCAACTGTGGAACAGAAGAGTAGCAGAATACAAATAAAACTTAATGATGCCCTTTTCCACCCCCACCTTTTTCTCAGCTCCATCCCCAGCAACCACCCTAATATGTTTGTTGAGCTCTTTCCCTGCATGATTTCCAAAGTCTGCCTGTAGTATTTGCAAAACAAGCCTAGTTTAAACGTTCAGCAAGATACAAACTTTAAACATCTGACTGGTTTCATCCCTACCTGCTAGTACTGCAGTTAGCTTACATATAAAGATAAGCATGTTTTGGGGTCATGCTTGTATGGAATGGACATTTTGTCCCCTGTTAAACCCAGCACAGAGTTTTGCTGTTGTTGGATTTGATAGTCAGCTAGCACTTTCTACTCTTCACCATGCAAAGTAAATTTTTCTATCTTGAGTATTACTGCATACAGTGGGGTCTCGACTTATGAATGGCTCGACATACGAACGTTTCGACTTACGAACCGCTCTCATAGGAATATATGGACTCGACTTGCGAACTTAGATTCGAGTTACGAACTCTTTTTTTCCTTTTTTTTAAAGCTAAGTCATCTTAAGTTAAAAGGAAAATAGAAAAAAATATTCCTCTCTAGTGGCAGAAGGCGGAATAGCAGCTTCCCATTAGTTTCTATGGACGAAAGGAGCAGATACGGATTAAATGGTTTTCAATGCATTCCTATGGGAAATGAAGGTTCGACTTACGAACTTTTCGACCTGAGAACTGCCTTCCAATACGGATTAAGTTCATAAGTCGAGACCCCACTGTATTTGAATGGGGGTCAGGGAAATTGGCAAATGTTGGTCGGGGAAAGGAAAAATCAAATTTCAGTGGCAACCTTCAATAGCTGCTTTACCCTTTACCTGTCAGCCTGAAACTTTCACAAGTTCTGTTCCATTATTGAAGACAGTCTAATCATTTTTGTCACATAGAACCCCAACTATAACGATGTCATTCTGAGAGGAATAGATGGAAGTTTATTTAACTATAGAACAGCCTGTATATCACAGTTATATAAGATGGCTCATTCAGAACTTCAATAGATGTCAAATTAATCATATGACAATGTGTTTAGGAAGCCCGCACCCCCCAAGTTTGGGGACTGCTGGTCTAAAGAATTCTGGTAGCTGTAGTCCAGAAACACAAATGTGCACACCTTTGGAAGCAACTGGCTTGAGATGAGGTTACACGTCCGCTAAAAGAACCAAGGGTGAAGTTTGGAAGTGCTCCTGGATCAGGCGTTCTGTGTTGATGATCAGATGGTACTGGTGGTTAGGAGTGCCACTTGCCAACTTAGGCTGGATGGCCACCTGTGATTCTGTCTGGGGAAAGAAGATCTTGTCTCAGTTATATGTGCTCCCTTTACATTGACTAGACTACTGTAATGCATTGTATATGGGACTCCCTTAAGGATGGTATGTAAGCAAAACAGTTGCTAGACTGCTTCTGGTGGGCTCTGTTTGCTTCTGAGCCCAGTGTAATATGCTGTTTTAAACTTTCCAGTCTGTAAGTTGTTTAGATCTTGTTATTTGAAGGATCACCTGTAACCACAAGAACCTGACTGGATCTTAAGATCATCCTCGGAAACCTGGCTCTTTTTTTTCACTGGTAGGCTTGCAGATGCAAAGGGCAGGGTCTTATGAAAGGTATCCTCACCCTTTGCTTAAAAATCCATCAATTAATAAATATCCCGTTTCCATAATGGGTAAACATGGGTGAAACATTGTTTCAACCAGAAAGCCGCAATTAAGCACTAAGCAGATCTAACTCTGTCTCTGCAAATCTAGATCTTCAAAACTGTGTTTATTCTTCCTGACAAGACAAAATTTCTCTCTTTCCCTTTGTTGATTCTCTCCAATGTTCCAGCTGAAAGATCTGCTCCATTATTATTACCCTATTGAAATTGATCCCTACCGGACGGTGGAAGACAAACTGCCCTATATGGTAGAATGGTAAGTTCTTTGCACAGAAGGAGACAAATCAGTGATGGAGAAGGAGCAGTGTTGGGTTGTTTTGTTAAAGGATCCTCTGCCCCGGTACCATAGATCTGAGAAATTTAAACAGGACTGGGGTGCAGTCTTTAGCTGGATTGCCCTGAACTGCAACTGCCAAATAAGAATCCTAGCTAGTTGCAGGTCTTGAGGAATGCTAGAAATGCAGTTGAGGTTTAGGCCAACTCTTTCCAGAGTGTGAGGGCTATGACATAAAGAGTATGCTGAATGATAACTGATAGCTTTCTAGGAGAAACAAACTAAGTGGAAACTCCAGTAAGTCATAGATACCCTTACAGAAAAAGCTACCAAATACATCTCTGTATGGTTCTGTTCTGCCTTTCCAACTTCCTGCACAACTTCACTGGGAGATTGTGTATGTTGTCATGTTTATGCCTAGGGTGTTATTAGCTCTTTACAGCTCCTGATTTAAGAGAGACAGCAAAATTGCCTGGCTTGTAGTTGGAAAGGAGGTTCAGGTGCAATTACTGGGGACATGTGTCTTCTCAAATTAAATGTAACATCTGACTTCAGGGCGAGAATGTGTTTCAGATATCAGAAGGCCTGCAGGCAGGGAAAAGTAGGCACAAGTGAACTGTTGACTATGGACTCTAAACAAGGAGTGACAAGCACGGCCTGGCCTAGTGCTTGGAAAAGATAACTGATGGCTGGGGGATTACCTTTGGCTAGAAACAGAGTACCACGCTTGTGACCCAGACTGAGGAAATCACACAATTCCTACTGGCCTAGCAATCCTTGTTAATGTCCTTTCAGCGCCCTCCTTTTGTTAAGAGCTGGGCATTAACACACTAGCTGGCT